CCCCAAACATGGCCATTTATTATTACTGAAGTATAAAGATTGCTCAGACACTTTTATACTTTAACTAATTCATTATTCTCTTTTGCATTATATTCAATCATCTTTCCACAATTACACTGAAACTTTCTTACCTTCAACTAAGTCATGTTGTTCTAATTGCCTTTCAATTAATGCCTGGTGTCAGATCAGCATTTTTCTGACAAAGAGCCATAATTTCCAGTGTTAAATCAAGCTTCAGGGATTTATATTCAAACCCAGGAAATATTTGCTGCATGCTTGGTGCCAGATACTTGTTTAGGTATGGAGTATGTTGCAGTGAACAAAACACTCAAAAAAATCCCTGCCCTTGTGGAGCTTACCTTCTAATGAGGGAAAATAAATGATAACATAAATGAGATGCACAGTTTGCCATATGGTGGCTGCTTTAATGGAGAAAAACAGAGCAGAATAGAGGAATGGGATGCCAAGAAAAGCAGGTTCAATTTGAAATAGGCTTGGTATGGATACCTCCCTGATGAGACATTGGTGCACAGATCTAAAGAAGATGAAGAAGCAAGGCAGGTGAGTGGATCCCTGAAGAAAGTTAGATAGAGGGAAAGGTCCTGAGGTGTCTGGTATTCCTTGAGGAACAGCAGAGAGGCCAGCTGGCTGAAAGTGAGTGAAGGACGGGGAGAGGCAGAATAGCAGAAGTTCATGGTAGACAAGCAACAACGCCAGATTGTGCAAAGTCTTATAGGCCACTGAAGGGACTTTGGTTTTCCCTAGATTACAATGCAAAACAATTAAAGGGTTTGGAACAGAGGAGTTAAGTTACTTTATTTTTGTTTTAGAAATATTACTCTGGCTGCTAATTGGAAACAGACTGTTGTGGGAGGGGAAGTGTAGAAGGAAGAACAGGAGGCTGTTGCTATTGTCCATAAGAAAGTTGACGTTAGCTCGACCACAAAGATAATGATAGAGATGATGACAGGCCGAGAATCCACAATAGGTTTTGAAGAAAAATTATCAGGTTGCTGATTGATTTGATGAGAGTGAGAGAAAGAAAGGAATCAAACATGGTTCCACGATTTTTGGTGTTAGCGACAAATAAGAGAAGCCTGAAGGAAGAGCAGAAGTCAGAAAGAGGTGTGGGACTGGAGGTTAGAAGTTTAGCTTTGCACATTCTAAACTGGAGAAACCTATTAGACTTTCACATAGTGATATCAAGCAGGCAGTGCAATACAGGAATCTGGAATGCAGAGAAGAGTTATGGAGTGGAGCTGGGCTCTTGTGAATGGATGAAGTCACCATGGGAGCCAGTACAGATGAAGAAGATGCCCAAAGAGTGAGCTCTGAGGCTTTCCAGAACTACATGAGGGGATGAGGAAACACCTGCAAAGGAGACAAGAAGGAGCATGCAGTGAGGTAAGAAAAAAACAAGGAGTATGCGTTGTCCTGGGAGGCAAGTGAAAAATGTATTTCAAAGTAAGGAAGCGGTCAGCTAAATACAGCACTGCTGCTGGGGCAGGTTAGACGAAGGTTGAAAACTGGTCATTGAATTGAACAACGTGGTAGGCTTGGGTGACATTGACAGGAGCAGTTTTGGTGGATTGCTAGGGGCAAATGCCAGACTATATTAGTTCAAGTAAGAATGGAAGTTGGAGCTGGGCGCAATGGCTCACACCTGTTAATCCCAGCACTTTAGGAGGCCGACGCCAGTGGATTGTTTGAGTTCAGGTGTTTGAGACCAGCCTTGACAGCATGGCAAAACGCTGCCTCTACCAAAAATACAAAAATTAGCCAGGCATGGTGGTGCATGCCTGTGGTCCCAGCTACTTGGGAGGCTGAGGTGGGAGGATTGTTTGAGTCCAGGAGGTGGAGGTTGCAGTGAGCCGAGATCACACCACTGCACTCCAGCCTAGATGACAGATCCAGACCCTGTCTCAAAAACAAAAACAAAAACTAAAGAATGGAAGTGGGTAAAGTTCAGTACTAAAATAGTTTTAACTCTTTGACACTCCAGATTTGCAAGTGGCTTTTTCATTCATAGCCACTCTTGTTCTTATTAAATATTATGAAACAAACAAACTCTGTTATTGAGTTTGCATTTACAAAATATATTATAAAAATCATTATATATCACCAAAAATGGAAAATAAAATAGACAATTATAAACCATAGCATAATAAACTCATTTATATAGATAATGTAATCCATACAAGTGTTCTCAAATTTGGGACTCAGTTTAGACAGTACCCTTAAAAAATGTTACTAGCCATCAAAGGAATAGTATCACCCTCTATGGCCAACTTTAAACTTACTCACAAGCCTCCAGCAAATTCCTAGAATAGTCTCTACTTTCAAAATTAACACAGACACAGAATGTTGCAGTGAGAGCTTGCAAAAGAGGACAGAAGATTATGATGACAGTTTTATGACTGTTACTTTACCCGGAGTACTCAAATTTAATTGGAAAGTAAGTCAATTGTCTTTGAAACTATTCTAGGAATTAAGTAATTCTATTATAATCTGTATTATCTCCACTGTTTCCATGAAAGTTTCAAATAAATAAACACAGTTGCCTGATACTTAGGTATAATAATATTTGCTTTTCAGCGGCAGGATGCTTTTAAAGAACAATTTAACAAGTGTCAAGTTAGAGACCTAGAGTTTTCAGTGCTATCTGGATATCAAAAAGATTTGAAATGATGATGCATCACAGTTATTTCTGCAAAAGGCAACCTTGCTAATTTAGGAGTGTGCAACAGGTTTCTATTGTCCATCTTTCAGTACCTCAAAATTCAGCACTCATTCCTTTCATTGTGTAAACCAGTATAAACCACTACTCCAGAGCTGTCTTGTCTACACCTGTGCTCATTTCACTCTAGCCTTTTGGGCTTAAATTGCTTTCATAGGCAATTAAGTTTGGTATATGACCGAAAATAGACTCCTCTTTTTCAAGCCTCCACAGGTATCTGGAACAATCCCTCTGATCTTCCATCCAGCAATTTGTCACTGTTTTCTCAAAAATTAGTCAAAATAGGAAAAACCTTTAGGAACAAGGTGAAGTGAGATAGTTAGGTCCACCTCTCTGTCAACCATGTCTGCCCTTGAAGAACTCATAATGTTATTAAGTGAGGAAAAGAAAATGATCAGTCCCAATTGGCCTGAGAAATTTTCAGTTTTTAAATTGGAAAATTCTTACCAAAGGAAAAAAAAATATAAAAGAACATCTGTCATTATACAAAAAAATAGAGAGAAGAAGGGATATGAAGGAATGTAATATATACCTAGAAATACAGGAAGACAGTATATTTACCGCATAATCTTCATTATTTTACCAAGATAAGAAAGTTTGAATACAAAGAAATAAGGTAGTGGCAGCAAGTTACACATGCCCATCATTCTGATTAACTTGTGGTCACCAAATATAACTAATGTTATTATAACCAAAGAAAATGAACTCATCATTTGAGGAATAGCTAGCTACATAGTACCTGCTCAAAAGAGCTCATGGCCTATTGAGGGAGACAGAATCTTAGATATATAATTATAATGAAATGCATTTAATGTATTAACAGATGTGGTATATCCCAAAGAGAACAAGATAAAACTTTAAGAAAACTCTGAAAATAGTGTTTTAATTAAGGGAAAAACATGTGCAATAAAGGCCTGTGCTTTAAAAAGGCTTGAAACGTAATGTAGTATTAGATTATGGTGGTGTTTTCCAGGTTCACTTTACAAGTAAAATAGTAAAGGCTGTCTGAAGCTCATTTTTGACCGCTCACTATATAATCCTATGAAGAAGATGATACACATATAACTGCATCATAAAAAAATCAAGAGATAAATATGTTGGACTGGATTCCTGTTCTCACTTTTCCAGAGTATAATTTATTTTACTCTTAGGATGTATAAATTTTCTTCAGGCTGTATGTTTAAAGACTTGGAATTTCATGTAAGCTACAATGAGGAAAGAATTTTTTTTTTTTTTTTTTTTTTTTTGAGACGGGGTCTTGCTCTGTCGCCCGGGCTGGAGTGCAGTGGCCGGATCTCAGCTCACTGCAAGCTCCGCCTCCCGGGTTTACGCCATTCTCCTGCCTCAGCCTCCCGAGTAGCGAGGACTACAGGCGCCCGCCGCCTCGCCCGGCTAGTTTTTTGTGTTTTTAGTAGAGACGGGGTTTCACCGTGTTAGCCAGGATGGTCTCGATCTCCTGACCTCGTGATCCACCCGTCTCGGCCTCCCAAAGTGCTGGGATTACAGGCTTGAGCCACCGCGCCCGGCCAAGAATTTTTTTTTAATTTAAAAAATTAATAAATTTTTCGGTACACCACACTTTATTTCAATATTGGCGTGTTTCAATGTGTTTTGCTACAAAGACACATATATAACTATCAAAAAATATAAACATAGGCTTTAAAATAAGAATTCATATGATTCAAGTGGTCACTCAAAATAACCCTGACTTTGTGGAAAAATGTCATGTAAGCCTCAAAATACTCCTTTCTTTACTGTGTTATCAGATTAACATGGATCTGCCTCACTTACATGCTTCCTATGCTAAAACTTGGGAACTCTTTACGGATTTATGAACTCCAAGGAAATTACAAGTATTGTCTACTTTGGAGGGCGCTGTAGAAAATAATGCATTTTATGGTGATAGTATGCTTTATGAAAATAAATATTATTTTAGATCACTTTACAGACTATGAATATGCTCTTTGTTCCTTTATGTATCTTATATCAGATGAAATTCCTCTTTTTCAACTCCCATAACTTTGACATCTGGAGAAAATTCACGGATATCAAATTCAGATAGCCTGTGTCCATCAACTGGTCAAAACTGCCACCTACTGGTCAATTTTTGAATCTATTTTTCAGTTCATCCAAGCATTGCCCTACCATGGTAAAGTCCCTTTCTTCAAAACGGTAAAGATCATTTACAATAACAGGCTTACAGCAAATATTCTTTTAATAAAAATGCTCTAGGGGTGAACCAAAAGTTACAAATTGCACAAACCTGCCAATAAAATCATCCCTTTTCCCAGCATCTTTGTCCCATGCAGTGATATCAATGATTCCTCCTCTTTCTTCATAAAGGTGAAAATCAAATTGTTCCCTCCACTGAGGATTCAACGTTTTTGGCATAATCTGGGAAAAAAATCATTATTGTCACATTGCTAGCAGCTTTAAAAAAATAAAACTTCAACCTGAGACACTAAATCAAACTTTTGATACTATAGTATCTAGAAAAGCATGCTGTGTGCTATTTGAAAAAAAGATTACAGAAATAATGGAAATGACTCATTCGATCTCCAGCAATCTTACTGAGTAGTACCTGAATGGACCTTAATGGATGTGTACTGAAAATCAAAAGATATCCTTTGATTATCTTAAGTAGCAGATAAGATATATAAACTATGTATAAGAGGTAATAATCTATGAAAGAAATAGCTCACTCAGATACTAGCAATATTTTACATAATCATAGTTAATACATTAAAATATAACTCATAGTCAGTCATCTCATAATAAAGGAGGATGAGGATTTTCAGAGTTTTTTTTTTTCTTACTTGCATACACATTGGAATCCTGACTTGAGTACATGAAAAACACACAGTGAATTTCTGTGAGAGTAGGACAAAAAAGCAAGTAGCTTTTGGGTGGTCAAACTTTTATCTCAGACTTACAGCACTGATGTAGTATCTCATGTTATAGATGGATAAGCTGAGACCTAGAGTTTAAGTGACACACCTAAGGTTCGTATGTTTTAGCATTTAGACACTAACTCAAAGTCTTTGATTAAAGCTTCAGAACTCGGCTGGGTGCGGTGACTCACGCCTGTAATCCCAGCACTTTGTGAGGCCAAGGCGGGCGGATCACGAGGTCAAGAGATCAAGACCATTCTGGCCAACATGGTGCAACCCCATCTCTATTAAAAGTACAAAAATTAGCTGGGCATGATGGCGCTTGCCTGTAGTCCCAGCTACTGGGGAGGCTGAGGCAGGAGAATTGCTTGAACCTGGGAGGCGGAGGTTGCAGTGAGCCAAGATTGTGCCACTGCACTCCAGCCTGGCAACAGAGCGAGACTCTGTCTCAAAAAAAAAAAAAAAAAAAAAAAAAAGCTTCAAGACTCTTCCCCCAAAACCATATGCCAAAAATGTTTGCGAAATAATAAATGAATATACATGAGTATATATGTATGCATACATATATGTGGATATACTCCTTGTGTTGCATATACAAGAAAGATATCTGAAATGTAATTCTGTAACTTCAAGTATTCAGATAAGTCATCTTGTACAGTAGAATCAATGAACAAAGTAACCTATATTGATAGGAATGGATTTTAAAATTCCATTCACCACTGGGTTAAATAACATTCGTATTTGTTTCCTTGTTCTTTCTTTTTAGCAGGAAGGCATGAAGTGGCCTTTTCTCTTTTTAATGTATGGCAGACAGATCTTCAGATGTAAAGTTTGAAAGCAATGAAGTATGTTATATGCAAAGGTAATGCAAATGAATCACAATTTTTAAAGTTCATAATATGAAATTAATCAGCAATAGATCAAGGAAAGAAAGAGCAAAGAGAGACACATGTCCATTGCTGGGTTTCATATTTCATACCTAAAGAGCAGAACTATAAAAATAAGTAATGTTTGAAGCCTAGTAGAACATGGAAATGGTGCTAACTAAGAAAGGACAAGACAGAAGTGGTCATAGGTACCTATATTTGGAACCAGTAGCTACTTTAATATATGTTATTAAGCCCCATGGCAGAAAAAAAATGGCACTGAATGAAGGCTATGATAATTTAAATGTCTTATAATCAGGCTCAGATGAACTCCTATGGTATTTTGGGGTGTGGTCTGTCTTTACTTATCTGGCCTTAAACAGACTAAATTTCCATTTTTCTCTTTTAGGATTGCCTTCCCTATATGATTTCCTTCAGGTCAGATATAATGCCTTCCCTTTCCATGTGGGCACTCCAGCCAGCCTGCTAGCAGTACTCACTGCCTGCTAATGATGGGCTCTGTGATATTTCTAAACTACCTTAAGTACTAGTGAAAACTTCCTGGGCTGGAAGGGACCTAAGCAGGCTGTTTATCAAAAATCTATAGAAATTATGACACTAAGGTGAATAAATGCCCATCGGAATGGAATGTGATCTTTAATACAAGATGGATATGATCAGTTGTCCTAAGCTGTCTATGAATAACAGCTGTAAAAACTGACCAATAAAGAGGACATAGTTCATTACAACAGAGATAAGATGATACGGTTTGGTTCTGGGTATCAACCAAAATCTCATGTTGTATTGCAATCCCCACATGTTGGAGGAGGGGCCTAGTGGGAGATCACTGAATCATGGGGCTGGATTCCCCCTTGCTGTTCTCACGATAGTGAATGCGTTCTCACAACATCTGGTTGTTTAAAAGTGTGTGGCGCTTCCCTTTTCACTCTCTCTCGCTCTGCCATAGAAAGACATGCTTGATTCCACTTTGCCTTCTGCCATGATTGTAAGTTTTCTGAGGCCTTCCAGCCACGCTTCCTGTACAGCTTGCAGAACTGTGAGTCAGTTAAACCTCTTTTCTTCATAAGTTACCCAGTCTCAGGAAGTTCTTCATAGAAGTGTGAGAATGAACTAATACATAAGATACGTGCCAAAAATATAGCTATGAGTACTAGATCCTTATTCATTATTACTTATATCACTAATATTATTGTTTAATATATTATTACTGCTAATATAATTGATACTATATGATATCTTTCTTACTACTGTTGTTACTCTTCCTCTTCTGCTATTTTCATTTGCTGAGTCATTATGGACAAGGAAGTATTCTAAGCCCTTTAAATGCATAACTAATGTATATTCATTTAATCTCAGTAACTCTGTTAGGTAGGCATTATTTTAAATCTCATTTTTACAGATGGGAAAACTAAGATATGGAGAGACAAAGAAATTTGTTCTAATAAATTTTAAAATTTGCTATTTGCATTGGTACAATTCAGGTTGGATAAAGTGTCTAAGAGTAATGTATGAAGATTTTTATGGCATGTAAAATAATGCTATTTGTAATACTGATATTAACACTAGTTGTAATCATGTTAAAAGCTACACTCTTGGGAGGCCGAGGCGGGTGGATCACGAGGTCAGGAGATCGAGACCATCCTGGGCAACATAGTGAAATGCTGTCTCTACTAAGAATACAAAAATTAGCTGGGCATGGTGGTGCACACCTGCAGTCCCAGCTACTCGGGAGGCTGAGACAGAAGAATTGCTTGAACCCAGTAGGCGGAAGTTGCAGTGAGCCAAGATCGTGCCATGCACTCCACACTCCAGCCTGGTGACAGAGCGAGACTCCATCAAAAAAAAGAAAAAAAAAAGCCACACTCTGAGTACTTTATGTGCCAGGCATGAACTATGTGTTTTCTGGGTGGCTGTTACTGTTTTAATCCTCAGAGCTATGCCAGGAGATAGTTCCAACTATTATTCCTATGTTGTAGATGAAGAAATTGGGACACAGACAAGTAGTTTACGTGAGGTCACCTAGTACCTGAATGAAAAAATGCTATACAATTATTGGTCTTATTTGCTGACATGTTGTTTAAAAAAGTTTGTTAAGCATTTAAAAAATTATCTAGTGGTTTCATCTCCTAAACCAGGGCTATTAACCAATCAACGCCTTCCAAATATTGACAGGAACACAACAGAGATATGGTCACCTTGCTCTTGTACTTCTGATGCCCAAGCCGGAACTTCACGTAGGGGTCGCTCAACCCATTGGAATCCATGGCCTTGAGGTCTCTCCCTTCAATCAAGGTGATGCTGACTATTCCTCTCCAAAGATGTGATTTTCTGTGTAGGTCTGATAGGCGTAAACTTTGGGTCTGAAACTTTTGGCAAATGAAATTGAGTTAGGTTATTGTGTTTTAAACCCAAATACCTCATTTTGGCATTACCTTTTCTCCTGTTATGATTCTTCAAAAAATAAAGGATAGACAATTATAATTTTTAAAATTAAAATAATTATGAATTATTGTTTGTTAATTATAAAATTAATAAATTATGAAATTATCATCTCATGATAAATTTGTTATGTAAAAGAGTTGAGTGTTCAAAATACAGCCTAGCTTTTCAATTCTTAAGATTACATGATGTAGATACTTCAAGAATATCAGAGAATATTTGCATGTGTGCCAAATAGGCTTATACCAAAATATATATACAATAAATGTTAGAAATATCAAAGGCCTCATTCATACTGTGGTATTTACTTTTTAAACTATTTGTGGTTTTTGAAGATCTCTTTGTTTATGTTATAAACATATTTTAGGAGTGGTTTTTAATTGGAAGATTAGTTGCAAGTTCTATTCAGATAGTTTTAAAACTTCTTTCTTGCCATATTTGGAGATTATTGAGCTTCAGATTACTAAAGGACAATTTAAGTTACCACAAAATAGAAAACAAAATCAATACGCCAATCTAAGATGTCTTGCTTATACCTAAAACTTTCATCACAAATATTTAAAATGTTTAAAGTTACACTGTGATTTATATTAGCAAGTATGTTTCTGGATTTATTTTACATTTTAGTATCTGAATGTTTTCTTTAATTACTTTTAATATTCTTTTTTTGTTGTTTGTTTAGAAACAGAGTCTTGCTCTGTCACTCAGGCTGGAGTGCAGGGGTGTGGTCATAGCTGACTATAACCTCAAACTCTTGGGCTCAAGTGATCCTCTTATATCAGCCTCCCAAGTAGCAGCCTCAGGCATGCACCACTGCACCCAGCTAATTTTTAGTTTTTATTTTCATTTCATTTGTTTGGTTTTGTTTTTAGAGAAAGGGTCTTGCTTGCTTGACCAGGTTGGAGTGCAGTGGCGTGATCATAGCTCACTGCAGCTTTGAACTCCTAGCTCCAAGTGATCCTCCTGCCTCAGACTCCCAAAGTTTTGGGATTATAGGCATGAGCCACCACACCTGGCTTAGACTTTTATTAAAATTGGCAAGTCTACTAAAAATGGCCATATAATCTCTTTAAACTAAAAAGGACATAAAACAAGCCATAGAAAGTAACTAAATGTGAAAACATCTTCAATCTGGATTCAACAACAAGCAGTACTATAAAAATGGTTTCTTTCATATTATCAAACGTGTTTTTTCTACTTATAGTCATTTCATGAAGAAATTCGACGTTCCTCTCAACCTCAAAGTACACTTCAAAATTATGGATTAGCACTACTTTCTACCTAATCCTGTCTACGTTAATGTTACAAAGTTACAGTCTATTTTGTATAACTCTCCCTCCCACTTTGACTTCCTACCTTTTTCCATACCAGAGCAACGCCATCGGTATTTTTATCGTCATCATTTCACAGTGCTTCTATTAGGAAAATGAAAACTACATTCTCCAAAAGATAATACTTCTAATACTTGAACATTTCAATGAAAATCTTTGAAAATCCCATTGCATATTTTCCTGCCTTGTTGAACACAACACATTTTGAACCTTGCCTGGTGGCTCTGCCCTATGAATATCAATGCAGACCTTTATCTACACACTCTTCATCCCTGTGAGCTTCAAAAGCAGCATTCAAATGTGATCTGAAGTGTAAAGGAGAATTCATGGAGCACCTACAAGTTCTGCAGAACTCCATGCCCTCTTCAGCTGGAGCCCCACTGCTCCCGTCTGTTCCATATATTGAATTTCCACATTGGATTTTGATGAACAGAGGATTTCTCAGATGAAAGTAATTGTTTAGAATTTGTTGCACCCAGTTATGGCTAAGGTCTTTGTTTTAGTTCTAAGATTTCATGCAACTTATTATTATATAATCTAGTCATAGATTTTGGTGTATGACTGCGTGGTTTGACCACTTCTGCTGCTGTTGAGACTGCCTCTAACAGCAGACTCTAGGGAATCAGGTTTTAAACTTTGGACTGGAAACTTTTTTAAGGAATATGAGTAGCAAAGAAGGAACCAAAGAAAACAAATGTTGTAGCAAGCAAGAAGAAGTAATTATTTTAGAAAAGATCAAGGAGTTAATAGCTGCCAACTAATACAGAGCTTTAGAATTTAAAAGTGTACATGTCTATATCACAACGTTTGGTTCCCACAAAAACCCCATGAGGTCAGAAGGCAAGGCTTTTTAGCCCCATTTTACTGATGGAACTCAGAGTGGCTGTGCTCATAAATGGTAGATGTGTGACTAGAACCCCAATATTTCTCATCTTTATTCCTGAGCTTCCCCAATACAAGTGTTTAGGGTGGAGATTCTCTCATAGGTTAAAAGGTAATCATGATTTAAACAAAATGTTTCCAAAGGATACTCTCCAGTTAAGTGATGAGCACACGGCTAATTTATGAAACTGCCTTTTACTTTTCTATTATATGACCACATGTGTTTATATTTATAATATTTCAGCTTGTTGAAGAATATACTTACTGCCATTTTTCTATGTGCTCTGTAGAAGCAGTCAATTAGTAGTTGGGTACAAGTTAGGTTACACAGTGTCTTCAATTAGCAAGGCGAAGTAAGTTTCTTTAATAGTGCCATGTCTAAAATAGTGCTTTTCTTGCTTGATTCTCCTTTCATTTTGTTTTCTGGTTTTTATTTTTTATTATCTTTTTTTTTTTTTTTTTTTTTGAGACGGAGTCTTGCTCTGTCGCCCAGGCTGGGGTGCAGTGGCGTGATCTCCACTCACTGCAAGCTCCGCTTCCCGGGTTCACACCATTCTCCTGCCTCAGCCTCCCGTGTAGCTGGGACTACAGGCGCCTGCCACCACACCCAGCTAATTTTTTTTTAATGTATTTTTAGTAGAGATGGGGTTTCACCGTGTTAGCCAGGATGGTCTCGATCTCCTGACCTCGTGATCTGCTCGTCTCGGCCTCCCAAAGTGCTGGGATTATAGGCGTGAGCCACCGCGCCCGGCCTATCAATTTTTTTTAACATGAGAACATGAACTTGACTTACAGAGTGAGGGGGAGAAAAGCCATTTTCACTCTGTAAGTCAAGTTCATATTCTCATGTAAAGCTCACAGGAGGACAAAAGATTCCATTTTCCATGGGGTCCTTTATGCTTTCACAGAAATAAAATGAACATAATAGAGACTTTACCTACTGCTATTAGTTGCTGTGAAATGCTGTTCTATAACCCAGAAGAACATTTCCAAAACAACTTGGAGAGCTAAGTGGGAGGAAGAAGGAGAACATTTCTTCATAAAAACAGGGCTAATGGGTGTGGTAATTATGGGGACCTGTGCATAAGGCTAAGAAGAAGAAATAAAAAAGTTTCAAAGATATTCTAATCAGATATTTTTTCAGTGATGTTTTCTTCTTCAATAATTTTTGTTCAAAATGGTACTTCTCTACAAAGAAACTCCATAATTCAACTGTAGATTTTATTGAGCAACTGCATAGTCATGAAACTGTTAAATATTTAGTCTGCGTGAAGAAGTGAGACTTGAAATAAAATTACAGGTAAAGGTAAAAGATATAAACATAGGCTATCAAAAGCAGAAGAGATAAGCATAGAACATAAATGTTCACTCACATATTCCTAGCAATTTCTGGCTATATAACTTGAGCATGTTTATCTCTCTCTCTCTAGGACTCAATTTTCTTATCTTTGATTTGTCAAGACTGTACTCCAGGGCCCCAAGTGTACTAACAACCCTTTTCTGTGTGTATCTACGGGTGGAGGGAGGTTGTGTGTTCAGGGGCCTACAGAGAAAGAAGTACACTCCATCAACAATGAAGATTTAGCTTGCTCAAGATAGTCATTTATTACTCTTACTTATTTGTAAAATCAAAGTTCTGGGGAGCTCATTGAAGGCGTGAGGATGGGCAGAATACCACAGCAAAAAGAGACTTTGCAAACTATGGAATTCTGATGCTCTCCAAGGTATCTTCGGAGTCACTTGCTGCTCTGTTTAAAAAGTTTCCTTCCTCTGTACAGTAAATCTCTCAAATATGTGGCCCACAGACCAGTGGCATTGATGTCACCTGGGAACTTTTTAGAAACTAGAATCCTCTGACCCCATCCAGACTAACAGCATCAGAAACTCTGGGAGTGGAGCCAGACATTCTGATTTAACCAGCCCGCCAGGTGATTCTGATACACACTCAAGTGTGAGAATCCTTGCTTTGAAAGTTATGTGGAGCGTGCACACTGTTTTCTCTATGTTCTAATAACTATTAATACAATTGTAAAAATTAACATTAATAGTATTTATACTATTTAAAGTCCCTTTTTAGTTCTGATTAGGAAACATATTGGTCTAGATATCTAGGGTATTTAAAAAGAGAAGCAGGACCCTACTGAACAATTATGAAAAGCTGTGCTTCTTTTCTTCCTTTGTTATTTTTCTCATAAATATATCTAAATAACACATATTTATTGAAGTGTTGATAGTCCACCAAAATCACTTATTGAGCACCTAAAGGGCAAAGAGTATTAAACAAATCCAAAACAACATTCAATAAAATTTGCATATTGCAGTTGGTACTTAGTTTTCTAAGGTAATGCTCTCAACTAGGTCCTTGTTGAATTAGAAGTCTTGTTGAGGGGGACAAGAAAAAGGCAAGAAGACTAAAAAGAGAAAAACCAACCTAGTTCTTCAAAGCAAAGAACAAAAACAAAGCCCTTAAAAGGAAAGAATAATCCTTGAACTTGTAAGGTAGTTGTTCTCAAATTCTAGCAGTCAATTTGCTGGAATTGCATGATTCTCTGAGATGTGACTCAGTTCTTAGGGAGTAGAGCCGAGTCTGTATTTCAGCACGTGCCCAATGTGATTCTCATCCATCCAAAGTTTAGGATCCACTTTCATAAGGAATATTCATCCAAGTTCATAATTAATAAAGAATATCAAGACACCAGTTAACAATACAGATTTCAAAGCATGAAGCAATTAGTCCATAACAGGTATCTTTAGTAAGATTTTAGAACAAATGAGCTGGCAATTTAAAGAAAGTGTTAGTTATATTATTCCTTGAAAAAAAATTAAGATTACAATTCCTTTTCCTATGTACAAAATAGGTTAGTATAGGGAATGGGTTTTCAGTACAGTAAGTTGGCTCTCAGAAATCACAGCTCATGCAAGCTCAGAAAAAAATAAATGAACTGAATGGTTGAACTTACTTGTGCATTTTTGCAATAAGGACTCTGAAGCTCTGCTTTGCAGAAGCCCAGGACAGGAAGAGCTGGCCTGCCGCACGTCTGGATGGAAATGAATGATCAGAGCTGTACGGGGAAGGTTTGTACCATTCTCAACCCCTCATTTTGATCAGCAGTTTGAATTACTCTTCAGAAAACATTATTTGAGAAAATTTGTATTTGTTTCTCAAGTCACTGTCAGAAAATGTCTTATAGCACAATGAAGATAAATGTCAAAGCAACTCTAAATTTCTAGCCACTATTTTCTTTAGTAGAATGATGCTGCAGTGGTCAAGGAAATGAAGCCCAGAGATTATATAGTAATAGAGTCTAATTAAGTGATTTCAGGTTTTTGTTAATAGGTGTATCAGAGAAAATAACTATAGCAAGAGAAATCGTGAAAAGAATAATTGTTTCCAAGTCTGATGCTTCAAAAGGTTAGAATAGTGATTCGCTTTCAGAAAAATAAATGTGATATGAATAGGCAATAAATAAGATCATATTAACCCTGCATCCCACGTGTAAATCTTTTGTAATGATTAAAGAAGTATCTCTAAACTAATAGGGAAATTTTGTCCCACATGACACCTCCCTTTCCTGCCTTTGCTATGAAAAAGTAACTCAAAGATCCCTTCACTACCAAGACCAAGAGTAGCAAGAGATGGATTAAGACAGATACAGCTGAACAGGAACTCCTGGGGGGAAGTTATCATGGTGGGACTGAAAGTTTATATTACAGGTCTTCTGGAGCAGTTAAAGAAAGTTTCTTAACAATAGTATTATGATGAGATTAGAGTCGTCAGCCTTAATAACATCAACAGAGAAGACTGGATTAGGGCAGTCGGAAAGGTGGATTAAATCACACAGAAAGAAAGGAACATTTATTGTGCAGCTATTACATGCTGCTGTTTTCACACTCCAGTGTTTTTCAGGACAGGAATCTTATTTTAAGGTAAATAAACTGAGGCATAGAGAAGATAAGTACCCCACTCAAAGCCAAATGACTAGAGATTGGCAAGGCTGAGATTTGAATCTAGAGTTGCTGAGACCTAATCCATGATTTCTACCCCCACCCACCTATATTTCCCTTTTTTGACAGACTAAGACATTCATGGAACAACCAAAGAAATTAATTGGTACAGAAGTTTTCAAAATACTTTGCCTGCCACTTAGGTGACATGTATCCTTGGTTATAGATGATCAAGAAAGGCTGATCAAGGGATTAGAGGAAGTAAGAGTAGGTGGCCACGTAATAACCCCAGCTTTTGTTATTCACTTTATAATAAATTAGAGTTTAATATCTGCTGGTAAGGTGGTGAAGTCATAGAATCTAGCATCTAAATTGGGAGCATTTCTATAGTCCAGTTCTAGTTAAAAAGTTTAGTAATTCCATTCCTTGAAAAGATGGATCACTAACAATGAGATGTTTTATTTTTCTAGATCTTGATTTAAAAATAGATCAAAATAAAAAAAAATCTGTTTAGACTTAATATGAGACTAAGGGAACACAGTTAAACCAATCCCCTTCCCTGATAGGTACAAATAATCCTTGGCTTTTGTTATCCTGGATTTTATTACCTGTGTACAACCTAATCCTTCCAAATGAGACCCAGACACTGAAACAGGGAGTGAAAGACATTGCTTATGTGTTTACAATAAGCCATGTGTGGAATCAGCTCTTTCTTCTATTTTCAGCACAGGGTGCATGTGCTTTTATTTAATCAAATGATCCCCGAGACACTACAAAGAAGAGATAATGACAGCCTAGAATGACTGTTTTGTGCTGCAAAGACGAGTGTGGAGCAATTAGCTCAATCCCAGGCACAGGCCTGTTCTATCTTTTCCTTTTCCTGCTGAGTTTATTCGAGTGAATTGCACCTGGATGATGAAGTCCAACAAGTGCATTTGTTCTGCCATCCATCCATCCTCTCAAGGTAGGATTGCTTTTACAGAAAACCCTCTCGGTGCTTTGTCCAGCTCAGTCTGAAGTGTCTCATCTTATAATAAAGCTTTGATCCTTTTTTTCTTAGAAGATGATTTACTGGCACCATAATCCTTAGCGAAATTCTGCTGGTTTTTAATCCTTAAACTTTCTTTTATATTTCCATTGCTTCTTGATACAATTTATGGTGCCAGGAAGTTCTTTATGTTTACTTAAGATGTTTTAACTATCCTCTCTAACTTTAATCGTGGCCAAAGAAAAGTTTTAAAGCTTTTACTACATTTGTTTGAAAATACATACAAATAGAAAATCATCATATATATTGTAATCTTTTTGGCTTGCTGAAATAATCTACAAATTTCTAGCAGTAATATGGGAAAGGAATAATAGTCTTGGGCTTGCCTTATAGAGACCTGTGTTTTTTTTTTTTTTTTTTTTTTTTTTTTTTTGAGACTGTTAATTAAAAGTTACACATATTTTTGAGTATAAATAACATCATACTTAAAAATGGAGATAATTCCTGAAATCATCTTGGGTGGATGTTATCTACGGTTGAGTTGTTCAGCATGTAAGTGCTTCAGTACAGGATTCCATTCTTGTTTTAAAAAGTCAATAACTCTTCTCCTTAGCCTTCAATCTTCCTTCAGACACACTTTTGCTTGACCTGACCAGAAGGCGGTACTCTGACATAACTTCTAAACTGCTTTGTATTTTTCTAGGTACTCTTCTTTGCCCATTGTGACCCTTTTCTTGATTTTTATATGAAGTATCTTGGCATGTTCCAGCCTTTTCCACTTAAAAAATATTTAAATGTATCTTTGATTCACTGCAATGTTCTTGTAAGGTGGTTTGTTCAATTAATTCTTTTACCCGAGCCTGTAAGTCCACTCAATGGAGATAACTAAAAAGAAACGTAAGCATGCTAAATATTTGAAACCACTGCACTAAGGTACCACCTTTAAGTGGGAAGTTAGTCTTTAATACAATTTTTACTTTACTTGATTCTCATAATTTTTATTGTTTTCATGAGAAACATGGTAATTGTCATATCCACCGCTTAATATTTTTTATCCTAAGATAGTGTTTTGATGAATAACAAATATTATGCTTTCGGCCAATTAGACTATCCCTGTGCACAGTCTTTTCTTTCCATTATTTTGCTGTCAGGAAAATTAAGATATAGCAAGTAGCACTGATGTTCCAGCTGAGCAAGTTTTTACCAGGATGTAGTTTCACTCAGTGTAAATCAGTTGCTATCTCTTGGACACATGTATTGATCTGTATAAATCCTGATAGGAATTTATTTTAAATTACATCCTGCTTAACCCACAAAGCACAGGTATACTCTTCATGCAAGATTTTATCTAAGCTATTTAGATAGTTTGCATATCTGAAAATGTCCCTGGGTAACCTCCTTTCATATACATCTCCTCTAAAAGTTCATCAGAATAACAATATTGCTTGGGTAAAGAGCAGTGGGGTTAATTAGTTACCAGAGTGACCTTTGAATGTGACTATGGAAGACAATACTCAAACAAAGTAAGCTTGGTCACTGATTTTCTGATTTTGTAAATGGCATATCAGACACAGCAGTCTCATGGCTCTTAAACATATCCATCCATTGGTGGCTAACACAGCTGCTGAAGAAAAGGGTCAAATAATGCAAGAAGAATTTGAAAGAGTGTCAATCAAAAATAACAGGTTAAGGAACAGCTTTATTTATACGAAGTATCCTTATTCATCATAAACTCAAAGAGGGACTCTACTGCTCTTCAAAGTTCTTCAAAACATTTATTTGTATGGCATTCAGAGAGAGAGAAATATTGTTTCTGATCATGCCATCTGGGTACCTCAAGGCAATGACATCAGTTTGATGGGCCTCACTTTCCTCATTGGTAAAACAGATGACCCCTAAAGGTTCTGCCTATATGACCCAAGTCATTTGTCAACTGTTCATTGTCATAGGCCCAGAGAAGACATTACCACCAGGCCTTGGATACAAGAAAGCTTGCTTATTTTTAAGTTGCACATTTGTTATTCTAGGATCAAAGAGTTCAAGAGATTGAGAAAGGTTATTAAAGAATATTTGAGGATGAAAACAACCAAATGGAAAGTACTGATAAGTGGAAAACTTGGAAGTAGCAAAGAAGATCTTGAGAGCGCCACTTGAAAGGGAAACACTTGAAAAACTATTAATTATGAAGCTGGTCCTGGTGACAAATCTTCATTCACAGTGACCAGTGTGCACATTTGCTGCACATAGAACAAGTTCAACCCAGAGCACCCTTAAATTCTACTCTGAAGAAGTGTGCCATTTCCCTTTTTTTTTTTTTTTTTGAAACAGAGGTTTGCTCTTGTTGCCCGGGCTGGCATGCAATGGCACAATCTTAGCTCACTACAACCTCCTCCTCCTGGGTTCAAGCAATTCTCCTGCCTCAGCCTCCCGAGTAGCTGGGATTACATGCATGTGCCACCATGCCTGGCTAATTTTTTTGTATTTAGTAGAGACGGGGGTTTTGCCCTGTTGGTCAGGCTGGTCTCAAACTCCTGACCTCAGGTGATCCACCCGCCTCAGCCTCCCAAAGTGCTGGGATTACAGGCATGAGCCACCGGGCCCGGCCAGTGAAATAATTTTTGGATAAAGCCGTCATTTAAAGTCATGGAACAATTTAAAAGCACTAATTCTATGTGTTCCGGGACAATGCATGAACATATAAGAGGAATTATTATTTCAGCAAAGTACAGAGTAACTTCAGTGAAGGCAGCCATACAGTGTAAATGAAGAGGGTATAATTACTAAAATAAACTCACAACAATAAAAAGCTGCACACACACACAAAAAAGAAGTGTATGTGCATTCAAGCTGGTAAGGATGAATAAATGTAGCTTATACTTGCTCACTGGTCAACACATGACTTAATCTGGTACCTGCCAGTCTACTTAAGAGACACTATAGCAAATACTAAAGTTCTAAAGAAAAAAAGGTAGTTTTCAATCATGAACAGTTTGAGAGCCAAGAAAGGAAAATGGCCAGGCCCTAAGAGTGTAGCATTTTCGTTGCAATATCTATTGTTACATTAAGCATATACCAAGGGTGAATTTTCAAAGAAAGAGGAACATTCTCAAAGGAAAGCAGTAAGTGCATTAGTAATAAATTGTGCTGTGCATAATGCAGAATTAGAACAGAGAAAGAAATGGATGGTCATTATGAGGCTATTATGCTTTAAACGTCAAAGAGTAAGTTAAATTGAAATGACATTTAAAACAAGTTATCTGTGAATCATCATTTTGTCTTTATTTAAATCAAAAGAGTTGCTGTTTTCTAAATTATAGGATTTCTTTTCAAAGAAAGAGCACTAATTAGTATATATCTAGGACAGAATTCTAGTATAGATCACTGTAACAGAAGTAAATATTTTTCTCGAACAGAAATGGAGCAGAAAATTCTAATCTCATTTTACAAGAGAGGAAAGAAGGAGCCCTCATGGACCTTCTAGATGGCACCATTATATTCCCAGAGAGTCCCGGAGACTCTAGCTTCTCAGAATTTGGAATAAACTTGGTTTCATAAAGTGACTTCAAAGAAATATGTTCAATTTATGAAGTTCTTAATTTTTACAAGTGTAGAAATAAAAGTGTTAGTTACCTAGATGACTTAGAAGATAATAAAGAAGGCAAATGAATACATCTATCTGGAAGCCTATCTTAAAAAGTGAAACTCTTAATTGCCATTTAACTTTCAAAATTGCTATCCAAAACCAAAAATCAAGAATATTAACAAAAAGGATTTAGACATTACCCTCCAAAAGAGAGACTTCACAGAGAAATAAGATCCAACCACTTCATTTTCTGAAAGTTCCTAAAAACAAACAAATATTTAGCTACATTTCGAGATGTTTTTGAGAATACTTAATTAGTATTGTAAATCCAAACAAATAAAATCAAAGCAAATAAAAAAACCAAAAATTGTATATCCTAAAGATACTTGGCATATTTAGAAACTGTAAGTTTCTTCCCTTGAATAAGTTAAAATTTTTGTGGTAGTAAAGTTTAGAGAGGATTATTTGTGTAATTTTTTAAGAGTCTACTTACCTTTTTACTCTTAATTATTCATTAATATAGAGTCTTATGGTTTATTATAGAAAGTTGACTAAGCATATTTTAAGATTTTAAAGTAAAGCAGGTATTTATTCCTTTTAACAAAACAATTGTGTTAACCATAGAACTTCAGAGCATTTTTAAAGAATGACTGCAGAAATCTTATTTATAAACATGCACCTAGTCAAATTTGGTTTAAATTTTTACCAAAAAAATCCAAATTTTATAATACAATTAACAAATATAATAAGTGACTTAGTTAACTGAAGTTCCCTGACCATAATTTTAAAAAGAAATGAATACCGAGAGAGTTGGCTATTGGACTAAAAGCAATGCAGTGGATTCAAGTAGAATAGTTTATTACTTAATCCTCAGACTTTTATAAAGGAAACCAATTCAACTTTGGGAAATAAAAAAAATAGCTATCCATTTTTAAATAGAATATCTAAATTACATGCTTCCCATAAACATTAAAACTTTGCATTCTGTCTCTAGGTGTCAGTTATGATAAAATTTCAGTAAACTGATGACAGTTACGGGAAAGTATCAATAGTTGACACTGTGATAAAGAGGAAGCACTTTTGCAACTTCCTTGATTGTTCTATGATTTTGTGTTAGCAATTAAGATTTTGGAGGTGAGGTGGGATTTATGATGATCAAGATTTAGGACTTAGGCTTCTCTTTTAAAATTTGAGAAACAAAAATATTAGCCACATTTAGATCCACGGAAGTTGCCAGGCTGTGCTTTTCGTGCCATGTTTAATTACTTCTGTCATTCACCAGCTAAAATTTATATTTCATTTTACAATCCATGTTCTCATGCAAATTTAGGCCTTTATTTCAGAGGAAGCAATTTAATTTTCTTGTGGACCCCTTTGCCATTTACAACAGACCAGCCAAAGCCTTCCTTTCACTCGAGTCTAATGATAATAACAATAACAACAACTACAACAACAATAATAAGACACCTGGCATTACAAAATGAGTCCTAAACAGAAGTGGTGATTGTATTACAGAGAACAAGAAAAATAGCACAAACTATTCATGAATTCCAGAGAAAACTTATCTTAAAGCATAATTGTAGATATTTAGTTACGCTTCAGTCTTCACCAAAACAAAAGACTAAGTGAGGCAAAGTGACATTTTAAAATTGCTAAAGGTATAAAGTACCAGCAAAGGGAAACAGAACAAAAAACAGAAATATCAATTGATAATGGGAAATTATTGAAGTTATTCTGAACGATGAATTGTTAAACTGTTTCTACTAAGATTTCTAATTTATAAAAGTAGTAAGATGCATTGGGAATATCTTATTTATTTCTGTTTTTGCCTCTAAAAATCTAACATACACTAAGAAAATTTCTCCTCAAAGATAAAAAATCTAATTATGAATCTAAATATTAAACAAATTTTAGACTAAAAAATCTAGAAAATAAATTTTTTTTTCACAGGGAAATAAAACTAAAGGATGGTTTATTTTTTTCTAATAAATGAATATAATGTGATTTTTTTCAGCCTTCATAAATCACAGAAATCTTTAAAGTCTTTTTTATCAGATGGAATAAGGATTAGTCAACAAGTTTTTATAAAAAGTGATATTTTAAAATTAGTCTTAACGTTTACAGAGCTTTAAACATAACACATACTATTATAATTTGGCAATTCTTCAAAACTCAAAACCTTCACAATTGATTTGAAATTGTGAAGCCTGATATTCAAATGTAAGAGTCAAGTCAGCTAGCATTCCTGATTACAAAAGTAGGCTTTCATAGGAACTCAATTTCCTTTTATCAATACTATTTTGGCCACTTAAGAGATTAAAAAATAAATAAATACACAAACAAATCATTTATATAAACTTTCCTGGTCAGATTGCAATCACTGTTCATCAAAGCCATGGCTCTTGGATGCTTCCATCCTAACAATAAGGATGCCTCACGATATTGACTAAGCTTATCAATTGTTATGTTAACCAGGGCTTTGGAGCCAGGATCCTGACAAAATTATAAATCGTTTCACTGTATACATTTAGGGTCCCTTAAGACCAACAAATCTCTCCCAGTTTCACTCAATTTAATAACTGTCCATCTGTCTATCCATCCATCTGTTCATTCATCCTTCCGTCTATCTTGTTAAATTAAAAGGCCATGTAATCTGCACAGCAGCCCTTAGTTCTGTTATCCTGGAACCCAGTTATATTAGTTCTCCCCTTTTAATCGGTCCAGGAAGGATCTTAAGAAACTGGCCGACTCACTTGGTAACACATGCCACCAATGTGAAGGCCAATAAACATCCTAGACCTGAAACACAAGCACTGTGGAATTCATCCTTTCACTGAGATTACATTTTGTCCTTTCACTTTGTACCAACTCATCCAGATGTGCTCCAGAAGAATCCACAACATTATGCCAACAAGAGCAGTCAAATAAATGTAATGCCATTGTCACAGCAAATCCCTGTAGCTATGAATTACAATATATAAAAAATTTTATTTTATGCCTTTGGGGAAATATTGTCAAAATAGCAAGGAAAAACCATCTCAACATAAAATTTAATTATAGCTCCATGTATTTTGTGGGGCTAATGAAATATCTACTGACATTATACTATCTCTGTTTTAAGTAAACTTACTACAAATTTAAGGACTTGGTTACCAGGTGGGGACAAAAGGTATTCTCTGATAATAGAAATACTCACTGCTATTTACCATTTGTTCATTGCTGCATTTTGGAATCTCAGAAGTCTTGCTTATGAGGTTGATTTTATAGCATTTCCAAATAATACAGATTTTGGAGTACAAACAATGGCAAAGTAAAAATCTTTTAAAATAATTTTATGTTTACATCAAAAACACCGAGCATATAATTTTTTTTCAAAGACATATGCATAGTGACTAGAAATATGGCACCCAAGAAAAGCCATTTTGGTCACTCATAGTTGAGAAAGTCTACGACCAAGAGTTTTCATTTTTGCCGCTTTAAAAAAATTGCCTATTTATTATCAAGACATAAAGTTTTTGTGGAAAGAACTTGATAGTTGCTAAATAATGACTTTTTTTCATCATGTCTAGCTGACTGTGTGAGATACTTAAAGATGTGTTAATCTGTTTCTCCACCGTTAGTTAAATTAAAGCACTTAGAGTTTTCGTTGATGCATTTTTAATGTGTCATCCAAGGTGTCAGGTTTAACTACTACGCCCTGCAGACTTATAGAGTTGAAAGTGTTCTCTAGTTTAAATGAACGATCTCCTTGCCAAAAGTCTTATTAAAAATTGCTTCATTCAACCAATGAATAAAGTGTTTTATAGTTCATTAAAATTATGCTAAGTGGTTATAATAAAATCTTTATAAAAAGATGTATTATTAAAAAAAGATATAAGCTGTCAAGTAACAGAAGATATGATAATCAGACACTATCACAGTGGTCTATATTATATTATTCAAAGGATGAACTTTTCTGAAAGAAAAACAATTCTAAACTGCTATTGTCAAGAATATGAATTGCAATGTGTATGTTTTTATATCATCACAATAATATTTCTCATATAATTGAGGTAATTTATTGAAAACACATAAGTTTATTATTATCTCACCTTTACCCATTGGTAAATTCATTATTCTAGGTTAAAACACACACACACACACACACACACACACACACACACAAAATGTAATGTAAAATCATAATTGCTTACTGTTTGATAGAGCCAATTATTTCATTACATTTTCCCATTTTTGGTTTCACCCCACAAAATGTATTCACAAAATACATATAAATCATCTCTTTTGAGTTCATGAAACTTTCTTCATGAATAATTTAACCTTAGAATAAATTATCAGTAATAAGTTTCTCCTAAAGAATAAAATATTGCAACAATCCAAAGCACCACCATTTCTCTGCTAAAACACATTTTTGTAACATAAGAGTAACTCTTTCACCTGGATAATTCTTCTGTTGCCCAAGTTTAAGGAGACATCAGTCCCTTTCTTCTTAAAATAACATAATTCTATAACAGCTGAGTGTGGGGCAGAATTCAAAATGTGCATAATAGAAAGTGTGCTTGTGGAAAACCAGAATGAGTCTTTTAAAGGATGGTTCTGTCCCTAGAAGAGGAAATATTATGGAATTTATATCTATATACTTGTTTATATGCCATTCAAATATAATGCATACTTCATACATTCTTATTTTTCAGAGTTAAGTTTAGATGCATTTTTTCCTGTGTATTGCTAAGTGGTAATACAATTACCCACCCTCCCTGCAAAAAAAATAATAAGTTAGTCCTGAACAACAGTTAGGATCTCCCTGTCCTCAAGCTGGAGATTCTTCTTTTGATTTCAATAGTTAAATGCAACCCCACATTATGTGAGTGCCACAAGTAATAAGATTTCCATTGAAAGAGCCTATTATTAGCAGAAGTATGGTTACAAAAATAGGCAAAGAAATTTCATTACAGAAAGCCAAGATGATGAAAATGACGAGTAGATGCTTAAGGAATGGGAAATTCCATGAGCTGATTCACATTGTATAGTGGGGAGACAGGCGTATTTAAAAGAACAACAACTGTGTCAATTTAGCCTTTCTTCCTCTGTAGTTACATCACTTCTGAAAGAAACTAAGCAAAGGAAGAAAAACTCCATACTGGAGAGAATCTCTAACCAACACTGGCTATCTTTAAGCCTTTGCTTCAAAATTTACACTTCTTAGATGATCTATTCACCACTGACACTCAAAGACAGGCTGCATGCCAAAACCCTTCCATGAAGTTGCGGGAGACCTCATTCTGTAAATCAAGATTCCGAGGAAGAAAATGATCTGTGTTTTTATGAAAAATTTACCTTTGAATTTGAACATAGTTATCTCATATATGAAATACCCATATTTAAATGTAATGCAAATAAAATTACACCCTATTTCCAAAAATAAAAAATGAAAAATCTGTACTCAGACGAGAATTTACAAGAAGATTGAAATATTTAGAAAATGATGCATTTTCATAAAACAGTAACACAGTAAAACCTATAAAACTACACGGTGTAGTCCCTTACCCCTTAGTTTCCCAGGAAGCACAATTTGCTGGACGAAAGATTCAGGGAGCAGTTTCAACATAGCAGAGTGTGTGAAGGAAGGTGGACTAGCTAGTAATTGAAATGTCAAACTTTCCCCCCATTTTGAATTTAACGTTGTGCTCTTGTAACACTAATATGGATGAATATGGCAAATGTTTTAGGGCACAGTAAAAAATCTGAATGAATTAGCAGGTGTTCAGTATGTTCTCACAGAAAAAAAAATCAAATGAGTTAACCAATTTTACTTCACTTAGTATTCAATATCCCCATTAAATTTTTCAAAGTTGAAAATCCCTTAGGCTAAAACCCAAAAGCTTATGTTAACACTGTACTAAATATAATCTGCCAAGTACTCAAACGAATGCTGTTAGACATAGGAATTCTGTATCTTCAGTTGGAAGCTTGAAAAATGTATCCATTTGAATACATAAATGGATTGCTAATAATAAATATAAACTCCAAGAATTTTAGATATAAAAACAGTAGAGGATAGATGTTTATTATTCATTTTAAATTTTCCATATATGGAACAAAAGTACGTGATATATTTTTACTTAATTTATGTTTAAAATTATATTTACATTTAAATGTACATGTAATATAATTTTTAAAGAAGAATTTTTTTTTTTTTTTTTTTTTTTTGAGACAGAGTCTCACTCTGTTGCCCAGACTGGAGTGAAATGGCATGATCTCTGCTCACTGCAACCTCTGCCTCCGGGGTTTAAGCCATCTCCTGCCTCAGCCTCCCTAGAAGCTGGGATTACAGGCGTATGCCACCACGCCTGGCTAATTTTTGTATTTTTAGTAGAGACAGGGTTTCACCATGTTGGCCAGGCTGGTCTTGAACTCCTGACCTCAAGTAATCCACCCACCTCGGCCTCCCAAAGTGCTGGGATTACAGGCGTGAGCCACTGTGCCTGGCAGAATCTTCATTTCTGTTCTTCCTTTTATACAATAAAATGGATTATCCCCATTAATTAATACTAAATACTATATAATATCTTGCTCTAGCATGTTAAATATATCTGAAAGAATATTGTTACATATTGATGGGTTGTCATGTTTTTTACACAAATATATCCAATTATATAAATTTAAAAATATATACACTTTTAATATAACAATAACTTTATAATTACAAAGGAAAAAGAGTAATACAAACATGAACAGTGCATATATTTCTTCAAAACATCTTGAAACTTTGATTAGTGAAAATCACAGTGAACATTAAGTTAGAAATATTCAGCAACCTTCCTTAATAAGCGTTTTTCATTTTATTAAAATGATAAAACTTTATTTTTATTTTTAGTCCCATTTTAATGCGAGTCCTGATTTTTTGTGAGCCAAATTATTCTTTGGTCATTAATGCCATAGGAATTAGGGAGAAAATGTACAGTAAGAGACACTTGTTCAAATAGATTAAGTCATTACCATAAATATAAAAACATTTTGATATATATATTAATTCACAGTAATAAAAATGACAAAATTAAAGAAAAGCTTAGGTAAAAGCATGATTCAATCAGAATGGAAGGAAAAAGATTGTCATGTTCCAGGGTCTAAAAAAATTAGTCACTATTAAAAAGGAATACTGACTCTAAGTAGAAATTTGAGGAGACAAGATTTTTACAAGTAAAATCCTTTTTATTTATTTCAAAGTATATTCATATAAAAGTTGTTTCATCTTGATATCTGTGTCCAAGAGTGGCAGCACCACTGAACAAATTAAATGCTTAGTTTATATTTTGCATATCTTACAAGTTGCAAAAGAGCTGGGGCTTAGTAAGTTACAGGAACCATAAACTTCTCTCACTTTATTTCTTAAAGTAAGAAGAGACAATGGGGAAAAATGGTTCTTATTGTATACTCTAAAGATGTAATGATACAGGAATTTCTGAGTTTAGAAAGCCTCATACTCAATTTTCTGTGACCCCCAAAAATAAAATAAATTGCGCAAATCTTTCTTCTATCTGGAGTTGTCCCTCCCCTAGCCTCATCATTTTTTTCCTGGCGCAAAGCAATTTTCTAGACCCTGTTGCATATATAGTTGAGACCAGATGCTGAGAATGATGTTGAGAAGTGACCAGAAAATAGTGAAAGAATGATTTGAAGCTATTGATCAGTGTGATTTCTATTTAAAAAACATCACATGGTTTGCTTAAATTTATGGGGAAAAGTAACAATCGGATAGTATGAAATCTGGTAGCATACTTTGAAGAGATGAGAGAGATCTGGGAAAGCAGATGATAATTCTTCTCAACAAGAAAAGCTGAAAGATCACAAGCTAAGAATTACCTTACTTGATCTTTTCCAACTCTTCCTCATTAGCATTGTCTGTAAATAAAATAAAGCATTTTCATTATCTTTTCACGCAAGTACAGAAGAGGGCAGCCAGTTGTTTTTTAGCGGACACATTAGCCCTTGAAACAGCAAACAGTTCCTGCAGCAATTGTACAACACAAAACTTGTTTTCCACGCACACACGACTAGAGAAACAACTTTAACATTCCAACAGTTTTTCTTGTGAGATTTTATTTTATTTATCCTTTTTTTAAAAAAAAAAAAAAAAAAAAAATGGGACCAGTACTGGGATGCCTTTACTGACTGAAAAAAAAACACATTGAGTCTCATAATTTCCAACAGCTCCTTTTGGTGGTGGAGGTTGATGGTATACATGACTTGATCAGGTATATAATAATTTTTCTCTTGAAACACATTCAAAACCTTTTGCTTTGGTGGCATTGTAGAATTGTCTCTGCTTCCGGTTCATCTTTAACTACATCAGAGTCTACAGATGCTTTCAATTGAAAACAAATGCTGCATACTGTAATGGCTACTAGTGCATTTTCCTGCTAAATGTTTAGTGAGGCCTGGCGCGGTGGCTCACACCTGTAATCCCAGCACTGTGGGAGGCCGAGGTGGGCGGATCACGAGGTCAGGAGATCCAGATCACCCTGGCTAAGACAGTGAAACCCCGTCTCTACTTTAAATACAAAAAAATTAGCCGGCTGTGGTGGCGGGGTTGGGGGGCCTGTAGTCCCAGCTACTCGGGAGGCTGAGGCAGGAGAATGGCATGAACCTGGGAGGTGGAGCTTGAAGTGAGCCGAGATCACGCCACTGCACTCCAGCCTGGGCAACACAGCAAGACTCCGTCTCAAAAAAAAAAAAAAAAGGAAATGTTTAGTGCAAGCGTATCCTTTAAACTAGTTAGTTTGTGTCATACTAAGAAATATGTATGGCCAAAAGTTTTAATTAAGGTTCTAGAGCTTTGTAATGCATCCCCAAGATCACTAATCTCTTGAATAAACTAAATCATAAAAGCTCAATGACTTTTTTTGTTTCCTCTCTTCACTTTAAAAAATTTCTCAATGAACACTGAAGTATTAACCTTCCTGATTAACCTCTTTCCCCTCTCTTTGCTTTACTATTATCTTTAAGGCAGATGAAGTGGAAAATAGGAAATATTCAGGGCAAGGAATATAGCTTAAAGTGCTTGTGCCATATTTGTATATCAGGGAAATGCACTTTAAGAACTGTATCTCTTTCAGGAGGATTCACCATAAAAAAGAACCATGTCAGAAACTACTTATGGATTAGAATAACACAAAAATGGAAAGATTTTAATATAAGATGAGGGCAACCTTTAACCTAAACCACAAGAATGAATGTGTACATTCTAGGGTAAAAACTAAGACTAGCATAACATTTTCAAAGATAATTATACGTTCCTCTTTTCTATAGGGAGTGGTCGTACAGGGCATATTTTCTCTACATACAGTCTTTGTTAAATGTTGACCAAAACATAAAATAATAATAGATTTCCTAAGGTTACAATGATTCCTCATCACCCCTCCTTTTTTTTTTAAAGACAGGAAACTGCAAAGCACTGTTATCAAATACTATTATAGAAATAATTTATGTTTTCAAAGTACTAAATGTCCAATTCATTTTGAAGCAACAAATCCCAGCATTGGGTTATAGGGTGGCCATCTAGGGGAACATGTAATAAATCTTTATTTTTGATGTTAAATGATTTATTATCATCAGTATCATCATCATCATCATCATCACCACCACCACCACTTCCTCCCTCATCACCAAAAGGTAACTGGAAACCAAATACTTAAGTGGTATGTTATATTTACAAAAACTGCCCCATAAGAGTTGGATAATAAATGCTCAACTTTCTCACCAAGCTGAGTTTCAATGGACAAAGAATGGTATCTCCTAGAGACAATATTTTGAGTCAAATCAATCAAGAACAATTAAGATATATAAAAAGTACAGTCTACTAATTCTGGTCATTTATCATCATTAGCATCTGAGAATTTTATCATATAAAATTCCATTATATAAGAAATGTTATGCTATGTAAAAGGGCCATAGAACCTTAGAAAGAGTGAAATCTCATGGCAACACTAGTCAATATTACAAGGATTCCACAAAGTCACATCCCCTGACTCACAAGCACCACATAAAATTAACCTTCTATAGTAAAACAAAATATAGGGCCAGTATTTGTCCTATCTCTCAAAATCAGCTTTATAAGCAGGCTGCAAGGTTTTCTTTTTCAGATTGAGAAACTGATACAATAAAAAGTCAGTGATTACCCTAAGTATAAATAGGAAAGAGTTAGCAGTTATGAGAACCCGTTCATTATTTTCCTAATTCAGTATGTAAAGTTCTATTACTATACCCAGTGACTCTCAAAATGACCCTAGATTTTATAACATTTCTGCCTCTTGAGCCAAATCTACTAGCAAAGCAATAGGTTTAAGTATGTCACTTCTAAGTCCCTTTTTCTTTTAGGTAGTTGGGTTAAGGTCAGTTAAATAAAACCAAAACAGTACAAAAGTTAAAAAGAAAATTAATTTAATAGATAAACTATTAGTAATGTTTTCTCTGCTATCTGTGAGACATGTTAGAGAAGGAAGATTGGGGAGTGTTAAAAATAGAAGATGAAGCAAATTATAGAAAAATAAGATTTATTTTTTGCTCTATGATCTTAACTTCAGCTGAGAAACATATGAATTAATTTTTGAAAGGATTATTAACCTGATATTATTATAGTACAATTCAAATTCTTCATTAGCAGCTCAACTTCCTTGAAGCCAGTAAAAGGAATGAAGTAGCATAAAAATATGGCTTGTGATAGAGCTGCAGAAGTAATTGTTTGTAAAAGACTCCACAATCTCAATCCATTTTTTAATTTTTATCTTTTGTTGAAGTGACTTTTTAGGCAATTATGTAACTACTGTACATATAAAAAATCACAGAATAATTAGATACAATAGTAACATACATCTTATAAAGCATACATATATTCAACTTTTTGTAGGTAGATATTTCTTCAAATGTCGGCTGTGTAATAATTCTGAAGAATATCAAAACTAATCCAAGATAAAGAAGTTTTTTTTTTTTTTTTTTGTTTTTTTTTTTTTACTCATCAAAGGCCAACTAAGGCCATTCATATGTTTCTTTGAATTTTCTATTTTTTAGCCTTAGGCAAGCAATTTGTAGGTGTAGGTTATTTAAGAGAGTGTGTAACACAAATTAACTCACTTTTATTTCACAAATTCTCCAATGAAGAAAGCTGTGGATTGAACTCTGCTAGAAAAAGAGCCAGAAAGAACTCAAACACACTATCAGACAAATTGCCATATATAGGACACACATATATGCACTACACACTTTTACAGGTTCAAAAATAGGACATGCAATCAAAACAGAAATGACAATTGTGCCATGCAACTCATCAGCATGCCCCCCAAGGAGGTTTTGGTTTCTTGTACACACAATGCTGGAGACTTAAAATATATATACATATATATCTGTTCACATCTGGGAATTTTTTTAAAGACTCAATCATGACCTTAATGGAGAAGATTTTGATATGGCACCTATGAAATACAAATTGCTGCAATTAGACATTGAATATTTTAGAGGCTTTAGTAGATTCAGTAGGCTGATAGGTTTTTCAACTCGTTCTTCACTTTCACTGATTTCTAGAGCTGGCAATCCACACAAGGAGAAATCATCCCAACTGCATAATTCATGGAACGTATTGTTACTATTAAGAGTGCATAAAAAACTCACAAGATGACTGTTTTAGAAATCTTACTACTTTGTAATGCTAAGGACTCTGTACTTCCAGTTATTCATTTCTTCCTACCTTGGCATAGCATTTTATTCACATTAATGTTCTATTTCCTGTATGATTGTTAGGATTTATCTGTAAAAGGCTCTTGAAACACATCTCTTTCATTCTCCATTTTTAATACATATAAAATATTTAGCAAAGTTTTATCAATACAGGCATACGAATAAACATGTGGTTTTTGAACTAACATCTTCAGTGCTAAAAGCCTGAAATAAATTATTTCTGAGCTAGTAATCAAAGAGAACAGAACTCTTGTAATTTTACTCTGTGAGGGTCAATGTAAAATTTGCCTTTATTTCTTTCTTACATAATTCTCATTTTCTGGGGATTGTGAAGCATACAGTAACTGATTTCTGGTTTGTTGCATTTTTAGTTTAAATTTCTCTAAATAAAATTTGTTCCTGAATAATTTGTGAAAGTTCAGCATGCCATTTTTACAGCTGCAGTATGTTATGTCTTTTAGATATCTGAAAATTTAACTAGAAGATACATTGGATCTCTGATTTTTAACCAAGAAACTTCAAATGTAGCCCAGAAAAATTACTAAGCTGATATTTGACATGTTACACAATGAAGAAAATACAGTGATGGGTTTATAATTTATTGTCAATCATTAGAATTCTGTGGGAAGACCAATAAGGCTTGATTTCAAGCAGATTATCATTAATATACTAATTTTAAGAACTTACAAAAGAAAATTAAATCATTATTTAATCATGAGTTGATATTGTTTGTGACAACCTCAGGGATTTGAATATTGAGGTAAGAAAAAACCATATACCCTCACTTGGTCTTTTGAAGTCATCATAAGGAAGACTTTATGTATTATATATATATAATTCCCCTCGTATGAGTGATAGGATGTAGGATGGAGGCAAGGTAAACTATACATAGGCATATTTTAGGTACACAGGTAACGCTGAAGAAAGCCTGGACTTGAGAGAAGGTGAACCGTGAAGGAGTTTGTATGGCTGGGACAGAAGTTACAGTGAAGGAACATACATTGGTTGTTGGAGAGCCTTAAAATTTCTCATCAGAAGTTTCCATTTAATTAGAGAAATAGCCACAAGTCACTGAAAACTTAGAAGAAGAAGAAGGAGGAAGTTATAAAGCCTAGTATAATGCTTAGTAGATGATCAATAAGTATTTTGTTTTATACAGATGCCTACAAATGGTTCTTATTTAGAGTTTCAAAACCTAACAACCAGTGTTACTAAATATAAGAACCAGTTTTAGAGAGCTTAATAAAATAGTTACAGAACTGCAATGTAGGACAAACACAAAAGAAAAGCCAATTTATATGTATTTTGGGGCATTTTCATAACATAGAGCATATATTTACAAACCCAGGTTCAAATTTAGGACATCCCAATAGCCAGGATACTGAATCCCAGTAGAATATCCAATGGGGGAATCTTTTTCCCCTCCCTCCTTTCTCCCCTCTCCTCTGGCCCCGCTTGCTTCTATACAACCAAGTCCATGCCTCAGCTATTGATTGTACCCACAAGGATGAGCCAGGATAACCACACTGGTTACCCTTCTCTCTGCTTCCTCAGGGGTGACCGAGGTCAGGACGGAAAGTACAAGGATGTTTACCAGCCAGAGGCTGGCTCTGAACAGACTTGATCACTATGTCTTTTCTAAGCCCTGGTTGAGCCACTTGCTTCTCTGATGAAGAAAGAAGCCATAAGAGAGTCAGTAACAGGATAGAAGGAGAGAAGACACCATCTCTCTCTTAATGCAGCAGAGGGAATGCAGTGCTCTCTGGAACTTTGAAAGAAGAGGGCATGAAGTAAGGCAATGAATGCAAAAAAACTTTTTGAGATGAAAAATACCTTTGGAAAGATTTCTTCCAAAAAATCTGGGGTAGTCAAATGGATTTGAGCCAAGAAAATAGCATGAGGATTTCAGAAGGAACTTTTTGTGTTAAGGGTGAATGTGGCTGAAGAGATATGATGAAGAGAAAGGAAAAGGAGGAAAAGAAGATGAAGAAAACCATATTTTTGATGTATAACTACTTTCATGTAACCCACCTATTTTCTTCTTTTTTGTGTTTGATAACTTACTGATTATCAGCTCCCAGGCACTGTAATATTTTAAAATAATTTTTACATTTAAAAAATAAATTTGAACAACCCTGGAGATTGAGGGATTTTTGAAGGATTGTTGAAGAAAAAATAATGTTAGAAACTACTTTGCCTGTGTTGACATATATTTCTGTGTAATTTAGAACAACTCAGCAGCTTCATCGTAGGGTCTCCTGATATTAACTTGCTCCCTCAAACCCTCAGTTTGATGTTAGAGTGTTTAATAAACATCCCTTTAATGTAAAAATTCAGTTGACTGTACATTATCACATCACCCAAATCACCACAATTGCTGCTATATCATTCCAATCTCCAGGAATATCGCAAGTTTAGATGGTCTGGGAATACACAGGATCTCAGACACTTAGTTATCTTGATTTATGAAGTGCTGTCCTTCATTAAAATAACTAAGAACCCCAGCACAAGAATATTCTATCATCAAGTCTTGTTGATTTTTACCTCCTATAGGTAAACCTGCCAATTTCCCTCCATCTCTACCTCTGACAGTTCTAATCCAAAGTTCCATCATCTTTCACCTGGATTTTCGCCATGGCCTCCTAATTGGTCTCCAGGTATCCATTCTTACCCCTTCAATATGTTTTCTACAATGCAGCCACAAAGATATTTTCAAAAGGCAAATACGATTCCACTGCTTTCAATTCACAGATCTTTCAATGGCTCCCCACAGTTTTTTGGGGAAAGACCCAAAACTTAACATGGTCAATTAGTTCTACACAGTCTGGGCATCGTCCTTCCACCCCAGTGTCGTTATGCACTCTGATCACCCACACTGTCTTTGCTTCCACCTTCTCTAAACTCCAGTGGTTTTTCAATTCTTGAAATGCAACATGGTTCCTCTTGTCACATGGCCTTTGTGTGTGTTGTCTCCTCTGCTTTAAATACCACCTCTCTTTCTTGTTTTTGCTTTATTAAGGCCTGTTTTACACTTCATATTTCAGGTCTTATTTGACTTCCTTCGAGAATCCTTAACCCCTGGCTACTAAAAATTTTCCTATATTTGCTCTTTCAGCAGTATGTACCTCTTTTTCACAGCATTTAAAACAGTTGTTCCTATCAGTGATTAATTGATTCCTGGGTTCTCCACTGGGTCTAAGTTCTATTGTATCCTAAGTGTTCAGCACAGGAACTGGCTTAAAGTAGGTTCTTGGTGAATACTAGACTCATTGAATCATTTGAATAAAACACAAAATGAACATTTACAATTGATTCCTATGTATGGATTAGCCAGCTAGGTTATACTTCTTGGCTTGTGCTGGGTGAAATAATGTCTTCTGAAGTAGTGACTTCTAAGATGACAGGCTTTCATTTCTAAATACTTTTTGTAAAAATTGTTTCTCACCCACCCCTCTGCACAAGGGTGCATGTGCACACATACATACGTAATTTTACCAAGCTAAGTTCTCACACTAGGTATTATTATCTGGTAATTCTTATTTAAAAAGAGAAACTTCTTCCTCAGTGAATGAAGTATAGATATTTAACCCAATTTAGCAAATATTATATATAAACATACGTGTCATCATTACATTTCAAAAAAGGATGGAGAGAAATAGTTCTTGAAAGGGTGAATTTTTCAATGAGTTTAAAGTATTTCCAAATTTGAAGTTGTAAGTTGTAATTCACAATTTTTACCTACAGTCTAGTGGAAAATGCCAACAACACCTTTCCAGCAGACAGTCTATAACCAACTTTAATCATGCATTATTTCAGGACAGCATTACATACATTGCTGAAATAGAATATTTCAACTTGCCTAAAAAAATTACGTCTACTACTAAATTGTGTTACAGTCAGAGCTAGTTAGAGTAGTTCCCAGGCACGTGAAAGCACATTGAGTCTAACAAATAATCTCTGGCAAGTTGTGGCAGAAAGTACACTAGCAAGCATACTGATGTGGGTCAAACCTGATATTTTTTAATGTCACTTCAACTGTGGGGGAGTAATTGGCTCCTCTGTGTCCCTTGTCAGTTTCTCATAGCAGCATGGTGTGCAAGGACGTACAGACAGCTAGTGCTGAAAAATGGGTAATATCAACATGGAAGCCCATCAAGAAGATGAAAAGTACTCACTTATCATTCAGTAAACAAATACCAGAAAGCAGAAACTCTGTTATAATTTCACCTCATTTTCTCTGTTGTGGTGCACCTGACAATGCAGTCAAAACAGCAGGGTCTGGATACCTTAACGTGGAATTCCAAGTATTCAATTCACTAATAAATGTATTCCCCAAATGAATACTAATATTTGCCTATAATATAACATGTCTGAAATTGAGAAATAAAATTAAAATAAAAATTCAAATCTGTTTCTTATTTACAACAAGAGGTTCTGATCTGGAGGGTGGAACAGGAAATTAGAGTTGAAAAGATACAATAAGCATGAATGAGCAACACCTAGGGTACTCACAGAAAGAAAGAACAGGGCATATTTTCATAGGCAGCTTCTCTTCATTACCACCTCTGGGTCCAAAGAAAGGCTCACAACATTCGAACAAGAGAGAGCAAGAAAGAGCTCCTACTAGGCTGTGGGGGAACTTACCACGTCCCTGGACTCTCCTTCTTTAGGGGTAAGGATGACTGAGAGCAAAATGATTCCAAGATCATGGTCAGGATAATGAGGATCTTTCAGAGTAAGGGTCACATCTGTGGGCCTGTGATAGAAAATATTTAGATTTTGAACAGTCATTAAATGATTAAGCCAAATATATTTTCAATAATACTTTATTCTTTTAAGATAAAAAGCAATTTTGTCCTCCTTTACTTTCTTGGGACAATTTTTGTTATTAAAATACTATCAGTGTATTAAGTTATCCAATAAACTGTGAGTAGATCTGAATTCACCAGATGAATTTCTGCTTTCTAAACCCATGAAAGTTCCAGAAAGTGATTGAAAAGGCCAAGAAACTACAACCCTATTAAGAAGCCTATCAGTCTCCTTTCTATGCTCTCTAAACCCACAGAGAGTAGCACCATACATATACACAAGCACCATACATATACATATACATACACACACATGAATATATATACACATATATACATACACATATACATACACACACGTGAATATATATACACATATATACATATATACATACACACACGTGAATATATATACACACATATATACATACACACATATACACTAAATACACATATGGGGTTACAGTCTGATTTAGTTCATTTTCATGTAATGATTACATACAAAAATTAATAGAAAAACTTCATTATATTTTTTAATAATTACATGATAAAGATATATGAACATTTACAACTGTCTTATGACTTATTATTCTTTCAGAGATACCTCAGTGTATTACATAGTATAATAACATAAACATTTATATGACTACAATTATTATCACTCTTTCTATACCCAGAGACTACTGATTTACATTTAGAATAAAACAGCATACACAAATACGTTATTTTAAAAAGTAGTAATTAGATGTTTATGTGGTTTTGAGGAGAGGGAATTGCTAGTGAAATACATAAAATATATTATGTGGCAAAATACACACCACATGCTCATGTATAAATAATCTCTTTTAATTTTTGAAATTATTCCAAATTGTCACCATTTAAAATTATTTTTCACCAGTGATTCATCTTTAATAGGAAACAAGATAAATTTACGCTTTGGGATTAAGTCTAGTCACTTGCATATCCTTATGCAGAGATCTAAGAGAAAGTACCTGTGAACTTTACAGAAGAACAGCACAGTCTATTCTAGATTGAGCTCAGTTTTCATGATAATAGACTCCATGCAACACTACTTAGGGCACTTCCTACAGTGGCAGGGAGGTGTGAGCCTGTGCTAGGCTATGGGCTGGAATGAAGGACTTAAAGAAAAAGTATAGGAAAGGCTGCTCTTTTGTCCAGTCCGAGGCAACAATGACTATTGGAAGACCAATCAGCCATTGTGCTAAAACTAAGTTGACTGTAATGCGTAAGGGAGTTCTACACTTTACATTTCTCTAGTCATCTACATTTACAGAAATAGCAAGTAGTGATCTGGTTCATTACTCTGCTTTCCTGTTTTCCACCATCCCTGCTGCACGATGTAACAAGATCATCCAAAACAGCCATGAATTCCTTCTCCTTAAAACCATCAAAGAAGGTTTCACAGTTTCCTTTGCAGCCTATTTCAGCATGCATGATCTTTTCTAACGGTATTTTTTTATTAATTCTTAGTTCCTATGTTGAAATTCACTTCGAAAAATATAAGCCCATTATTAGGTGTAAGGAATGATTAATATTAGTAACAATAGCAACTTTGCAACTAGGGAAGCAATGATATGAAACTGAGCAAATACAAATAACCTGCCTCCACCTTAGGAGCACTCCTTGGTAATCCGGCAATGGCAAAATCAGATTCTACCATGGCTCAAGTGACGAGAGAGTTGCTGTTTCTGAAGCAAAGTGCACACACACTGTATTTTATATATAGTAGTCCGATTCTTAATAATTATGACTAACATGCATAATTTTTTTTTATGCCCCATTAAAACCATATGGGCAACGTGAAAGGAATGTGTCTTTTATCTTTCGATCCCTGGTGCTTAGCACAGTACTGGGTGTCAGGCCTCTGAGCCAAAGCTAAGCCATCATATCCCCTGTGACCTGCACGTACACACCCAGATGGCTGGTTCCTGCCTTAACTGATGACATCGCCTTGTGAAATTCCTTTTCCTGGCTCATCCTGGCTCAAAAGCTCCCTCACTGAGCACCTTGTGACCGACCCCCCCGACTCCTGTCTGCCAGAGAACTACTCCCTTTGACTGTAATTTTTCTTTACCTACCCAAATCCTATAAAACAGCCTCACTCTTATCTCCCTTGGCTGGACTCTCTTTTCCGACTCAGCCCACCATTTCCTGGTGATTGAAAAGCTTTATTGCTCACACAAAGCCTGTTTGGTGGTCTCTTCACATGGACGCGCATGACATTTTAGTGCAGTGACTTCGAACGGGGGACATCCCTTGGGAGATCAATACCCCCTCCTCCTGCTCTGTGCTCCGTGAGAAAGATCCACCTACAATCTCGGGTCCTCAGACCCACCTGCCCAAGGAACATCTCACCAATTTTAAATTCTGTAAGGGGCCTCTTTTTATTCTCTTCTCCAGCCTCTCTTACTATCCCTCAACCTCTTTCTCCTTTCAATCTTGGCACCACACTTCAATCTCTCCCTTCTCTTAATTTCAGTTCCTTTCCTTTTCTGGTAGCCTTGGACCCTAAAAGGTCAAAAGGCTGTCTTATTCTCCATATACATTTTATTACCTAATCCACTCCCAACATTAAATAAAACCCCCAAAATTAAATTCTGGCCCTCAAACCCCACCACAGGACTTAATTAACCTCGCCGTCAAGGTGTACAATAATAAAATAGAGGCAGCCAAGTAGCAATGTATTTCTGAGTTGCAATTCCTTGCCTCCACTATGAGAGAAACCCCAGCCATATCTCCAGTGCACAAGAACTTCCAAATGCCTGAACCACAGCAGCCAGGTGTTCCTCCAGGACCATTTCCCCCAGAAACTTGCTTCAAGTGCTGGAAATCTGGAAAGGAGGCCAAGGAATGTCTGCAGCCCAGGATTCCTCCTAAGCCGTGTCCCATCTGTGCGGGATCCCACTGAAAAATTGGACTGTTCAGCTCACCTGGCAGCCACTTCCAGAGCCCCTGGAACTTTGGCCCAAGGCTCTGACTGACTCCTTTCCAGATCTTCTTGGCTTAGTGACTGAAGACTGACGCTGCCTGATTGCCTCGGAAGTCCCCTGGACCATCACGGACACCGAGCTTCAGGTAACTCTCACAGTGGTGGGTAAGTCTGTACCCTTCTTAATCAGAATGGAGGCTACCAACTCCACATTATCTTCTTCTCAAAGGCCTGTTTCCCTTGCCTCCATAACTGTTGTGAGTATTGACGGCCAGGCTTCTAAACCTCTTAAAACTCCCCTACTCTGGTGCCAACTTAGACAACATTATTTTATGCAATGTTTTTTAGTTATCCCCACCTACCCAGCTCCCTTATTAGGATGAGACATTTTAACTAAATTATCTGCTTCCCTGACTGTTCCTGGACTACAGCCACACCTCACTGCCACCCTTTTTCCCAGTTCAAAGCCTCCTTCACATCCTCCCTTTGTATCTCCCCACCTTAAACCACAAGTATAGGACACCTCTACTCCCTCCTTGGCGACTGATCATGCACGCCTTACATCCCATTAAAACCTAATCACCCTTACCCCACTCAATGCCAGTATCCCATCCTGCAGCACGCTTTAAAAGGATTAAAGCCCGTTACCCCTCGCCTGTTACAGCATGGCCTTTTAAAGCCTATAAACTCTCTTTACAATTCCCCAATTTTACCTGTCCTAAAACCAGACAAGGCTTACAGGTTATTTCAAGATCTGTGCCTTACCAACCAAATTGTCCTGCCTATCCACCCCATGGTGCCAAAGCCATATACTCTCCTATCCTCAATACCTCCCTCCACAACCCATTATTCTGTTCTGGATCTCAAACATACTTTCCTTACTATTCCTTTTCACCCTTCATCCCAGCCTCTCTTCACTTTCACTTTGACTGACCCTGACATCCATCAGGTGCAGCAAATTACCCGGGCTGTACTGCCGCAAGGCTTCACGGACAGCCCCCATTACTTCAGTCAAGCCCAAATTTCTTCCTCATCTGTTACCTATCTCAGCATAATTCTCATAAAAACACACGTGCTCTCCCTGCTGATTGTGTCTGGCTAATCGCCCAAACTCCAATCCCTTCTACAAAACAACAACTCCTTTCCTTCCTAGGCATGGTTAGTGTGGTCAGAATTCTTACACAAGAGCCAGGACCACATCCTGTACCCTTTCTGTCCAAACAACTTGACATTACTGTTTTAGCCTAGCCCTCATGTCTGCTTGCAGTGGCTGCTACTGCTTTAATATTGTTAGAGGCCCTACAAATCACAAACTATGCTCAACTCACTCCCTACAGTTCTCATAACTTCCAAAATCTATTTTCTTCCCCCCACCATCGCTCAAGACAATGCTTATGCTGATAAGATAGCTGAAAAGCAGCCATCAAAAGGCATCAGATATCATCGCTCAGGATAATGTTTATGTTATGTTAGTTAAAAAATGAGCTAGCATTCCAACTTCTATCCCTCACAGCAGTTTTCCTCCTTCACATTGGTCACTCCCACCTACTCCCCCGCTGAAATTTCCACCTATCAATCTCTTCCCACACAAGGCAAATGGTTCTTAGACCAAGGAAAATATCTCCTTCCAGCCTCACAGGCCCATTCTATTCTGTTGTCATTTCATAACCTCTTCCATCGAGGTTACAAGCCACTAGCCTGTCTCTTAGAACCTCTCATTTCCTTTCCATCCTAGAAATCTATTCTCAAGGAAATCACTTCTTAGTGTTCCATCTGCTATTCTACTACTCCTCAGGAATTTCTCAGGCCCCCTCCCTTCCCTACACATCAAGCTTAGGGATTTGCCCCCTTGAAGGATGGGCAAATTGACTTTACTCACATGCCTCGAGTCAGTAAACTAAAATACCTCTTGGTCTGGGTAGACACTTTCACTAGGTAGGTAGTGGCCTTTCCTACAGGGTCTGAGAAGGCCACCGCGGTCATTTCTTCCCTTCTGTCAGACATAATTCCTCGGTTTGGCCTTCCCACCTCTATACAGTCTGATAGCAGACCAGCCTTTATTAGTCAAACCACCCAAGCAGTTTCTCAGGCTCTTGGTATTCAGTGAAACCTTTATATCCTTTACTGTCCTCAATCTTTAGGAAAGGTAGAACGGACTGATGGTCTTTTAAAAACACACCTCACCAAGCTCAGTCACCAACTTAAAAAGGACTAGACAATACTTTTATCACTTTCCCTTCTCAGAATTCAGGCCTGTCCTCGGAATGCTACAGGGTACAGCCCATTTGAGCTCCTGTGTGGACACTCCTTTTTATTAGGTCCCAGTCTCATTCCAGACACCAGACCAACTTGGACTGTGCCCCAAAAACTTAGAGTCTAAAAACTCAGCAACCAAACAAGTAATTACGCTGACCCCCCTTAGGCTCTCTCTAATTAGATGTCCTGGGTCCTCCCAATTCTTAGTCCTTTAATCCCTGTTTTTTTCCTTCTCTTATTCAGAGCTTGTGTCTTTCATTTAGTTTTTCAATTCATGCAAAACTGCATCCACACCATCCCCAATCATTGTATATGACAAGTGATCCTTCTAACAACCCCACAATATCGCCTCTTACCACAAAATCTTCCTTCATCTTAATCTCTCCCACGCTAGGTTTTCACGCTGCCCCAATCCCACTTGAAGTAGCTCTAAGAAACATCGCCCATTATCTCTCCATACCACCCCCCAAAAATTGTCGCCACCCCAACACTTAAACACTATTTTGTTTTATTTTTCTTATTAATATAGGAAGACAGGAATGTCAGGCCTCTGAGTCAAAGCTAAGCCATCATATCCCCTGTGACCTGCAAGTACACACCCAGATGGCCTTATACACCCAGATGGCATGTACACACCCAGATGCTCCTGCCTTAACTGATGACATTCCACCACAAAAGAAGTGAAAATGGCCTGTTCCTGCCTTAACTGAAAACATTACCTTGTGAAATTCCTTTTCCTGGCTCATCCTGGCTCAAAAGCTCCCCAACTGAGCACCTTGTGACCCCCCACCCCTGCCAGCCAGAGAGCAACCCCCTTTGACTATAATTTTCCTTTGCATATCCAAATCCTGTAAAACGGCCCCACCCCTATCTCCCTTGGCTGACTCTCTTTTCAGACTCAGCCCGCCTGCACCCAGGTGATTAAAAAGCTTTATTGCTCACACAAAGTCTGTTTGGTGGTCTCTTCACACGGATGCTCATGACACTGGGAAACACAGCAGGTAGGCATCCAAGAAGTTTTTGATTGAAAAGTTGTTGAATGAGGCAGTCAGGGAAGATGCCATTATTTCCACTCAGTAAGTGAGGAAGATGGATTTGAGAAAGGCTGACTAGCATGAAGGCTCACCACTGTGAATGACAGAACTAGACCCCAGATCAGCTGACATTTTCTGTTACACAAGCCCACTGCATGACAAGGGGTGGTGATATTACAACAGTTCAAAAGTTACCTGTTTAACTCCAATTGTGTCAGATCCAGAAAGGCTGAGCCCATAAAGTCATCCTGTAGTCCAAAATCATAGTCAAATACCTGAGAAGCCAAAGAGAAAAAGCCTTGTTATAAATATCTCCAATACAAGCTTTATGTGATAATGTCTTGGTCATAAAATGTTGGTTGTCTGTATCACCAAAAGCACACTAATATTTATTTTTAAAAATAATTGTTTTTGTACTTTGGAATATTAGAGTCTCACAAAATACTTAAAGAAAATTACATTTTATTTTTTACTTAATATTACTGATTGATTATATCAAATAGAACTTTAAGGTAGATGTAACAATCAAATAAAATATAGTAAATCTTCAAAAATGTGGGAAGAAGCATATAATTCAACAAGTATGTCTTTCATATTGGGCTATGGTTGATGAGAATATGATTTCAATATCTTCATATTTTTAGGCCATTAAAGATACATTTTGTGATATAGGACAATGCCACTTTAAACATACAAATAAGTAAAAAGATACTATGATTAATGTACTTTATAAAGTTTTACTAAGGTTAAGTTAAAATAAAGTTTTATTGTCACAAACAATTACTGGGGGATAATACGAATATGACTAACAACAAAAAAACTAAAATGAAAGGAGAAGAAAGAGATAATGTGCTTCTTCCTTTTGTCAATACTCTCTCTCCAGTATCTTCTCTGTGTCTTGTGTGGTTCTTATTCACTCTGTGGTAAGTAAGACAGACAATGTCTCTGACCTCTTGGATTCTACATGGAGGGTCTGAGATGGCCTATAAATACCTAAATACAGTTCAGTTATAAGTGCCATGGAGCAAATAAATGTCTAAGAGGTGTGTGGGGAGCTGCTATTTTAGATGAGGAGACCAGGAACTCCTCTCTGAGGAAGGATATTTGTGTAGACACCCAAATAATGGGAAGGAGTATGCTATGCTAGTAGGAGCAAGAGCCCTCCAGCTGAAGGAAATGGCAAGCCCAGGAGAGGGACTGATGTGTTTCACACATCAGTTGTGATCAGCAAGAAACAAGTGGGGTTGAAGCAAATGGAGAGAGACAGAGAACGGAAGGATGCTGGAGGGATAGTTCAGAGCTAGATAAGTTAGGGCCATTTCCAAAGGATGCTAAGTGAATGGGAACTGGCTAACTTCCATCCATCTATTTATTTTGTCACTCATTCATTCCCTCAGCCAATACTGACTAAGTACTTATTATGTGCCAGGCAATATGCTAGCAACTGAGTAAACAGTGGTAAGCATAACTGCCATTCTCAATGCTTACAGTTTAGTGAGGGAGACAGACATTAAACAAGGAAGTGCATAGGTGATACACAGTTACAAATTCTGACAAGCGTTTTAAGGAAAAGAAGAGAGAATGAAAAGAAAGTGAGGAAGTAAGGAAGGAAGATCAGGGAAACCCTTCACAATGAAAAAAAAAAAATGCTACCAGATGAAATGTAGAGCTGTCACTTCCTGACCTTTTCAGAGAGAAAACATTTGTATTGAACACTGGAGTAATTGAGCATAACCAGATACATCTGCTCTTGAATGGATGACCCAGGCCTTTGGCTGCTCCAGAATGTGAGAATCCATGAAGCTGAATCAATAGCCCCACACTCCTATGCTCAGTTCTTGGCACAACAGTTAGAAAGCTCAAAGCAGAGCAGCCCTGAATCAGTTGCTGGGTTTTTGTTGCTGTTGTTGTTGTTGTTTCTTCCATATTACAGGTGTACGTCAATTTAAGAAAACTTAATATGTAAAAAATTGATACTTAAATAAAAAGATAAATACTTTGCATTACAAAAAGATTCTTAGATTTGAAGAGTCACATGGGGATTTATTTAAGTAATAAGCTCCCCTAATGCCTTTTAAATTATTCAATTTGCAGTCATTTGATTTACATACAACCTTTCAAGAGTGCATTTATTGTAGAAAGCTCAGCACTCCTGCAATAAATATTCTCCTTCATCAATTACACTTCTGAGCGTTAGTCCTCTGCTCAGTGGCATAGCACATGCATGTATTGCACATCTTAGGCAACTGACATCTCTGTATTTGCAAGTGGCTGCAGCAGTGTATTTTACAACATACAATTTACACCAAAACATTGGAGAAATTTCTCTTGTGGAATCTTATCTAATCATATCGCCCTTAGGCTTAAAGTCTTGGGAGAGAAAATAGGTGGCATATAATGAGTGAGATCACCTGAGGTTCACCCACACATATGAGGTGGAGAGCTGTGAATCCAGTGAATTTATTAGTGCAGACAGCCCAACTGGGCAATTCAACATCCAACGTCTTTTCACTCTCATAGTGAGAGTCTTTCCTATTATCCGACTGCTAGATGTCTACTTTAGCTCTCAGTTCCTATTAATCTGCAAAGGCATAAACGTGGGAAGAAAAGGAAACACTAGAATCCATGCATTAATGAAATTATTAGCTATGCTACTTGGTTCCAAGCTCTGCATACTATTTATTTGTCAGAGGGAGCATTGCTCTAGGTGAGCTTCAGAAATACAGAGCATAGGAGAGATATAAAATAGGAAAAGGTACTCCCACTGCACTGACAACAAGCACAGTTAATGCTTATTAATGTTTATTCAATATTTACTAGGCACAACCCAGTTGACAAGGTATTGTTGTTTCTATTTTTCAGATAATGAATCCAAAGCTGAAAAAGTACATGTTATTTTCTCCCCAAATCCTAGGGCTAGTAAGACACAATATTCAAATCTTCTTGTATCGAGTGTCATAAACAGAGTGTGTTTACATTTCACAAATATATCTTAGGCACTCGCTCTAAGAGAAGCATTAAGAATTAAAACATGAATGATTTAGATGAGATTCTTGCTTTCATGGAGCCTTCACACCATTAGTTGGAAACATTAGATAGCAGGTAGAAGTCGCTTGGGACTTGGTAACACCTTCTGCATTCTCAAGTGAGTTTAGAACAATAAATATTTAATTTTAAACAACAAATTCACTTTACTGTTTACTGAAAATCCATTGGGAAGTGTACCAGTTAAAATGCTTTTGCTTTTGTTTTTAATAGAAAACTCAACTGGCTTCAATTTCTAGCTCAAATGACTGAAGAAATGTCTATAGGTAATTATGGCTTCTGGGAAGTTTTAATTTAGCAGTTCAAAGTGATTCATGCATTTATTAATGCATGTATTTGAAAAATATTTGGTGAGCACCCACAATGTTCCAGGTACTGTTCTAGGCATTTGAAATACAGCAGTGATCAAAACAGTCAGTCTTTGATTTCTTGGAGCTTACATATGGGGTGGTGAGAGATAGGCAATAAAGAAATACATATGCCAAGTAGTAGTGATAAGTGCTAAGGAGAAAACTATTTCAGAGTACTACAGTGATGGGAACTACTATTTATACATGATGCTCAGAAAGGACAATCAGAATGGGAGGTATTTCCCCATGATGGGAAAAGTGTGTTTCACAATGAGGGAATAGAAAAGTGCATTCCATGAAGAGGAAAGTGTCTTCCACAAGGAGGGAACAGGAAATAGAAAGGCACTGAGGAAACTGGCCAGGGGTCAGTGAGGCTGAAAGTAGTAAGCAAGAGAAGAGTACTGGAACATTAGTTCAGGCTTAGGCCATGGGGCCTACTAACATATTTTAAAGTCTGGGAGAAGGATCTGGAGAGGAGACTGAGAAGCAACAGCTACTGAGGGAGCAGGAAGACCAGGAGAATGGTATCCTGAAAACAAACTGAAGAAAGAATGTTAAGATGGAGGAAGTAGTTAACTATATCAAAGGTAAATGATATAGCCTAATCCTATTTCTGCCTCTCCAGTTCTCATCAGAGCTTCCTCATCATTACTGCCTCAATAGCTCCCCTAGGATCCTAATGAACCCTAGTTTGGGTTCTCTGTTAGGGATATTAGTTGAGGATTTTTCCAACATATATCCCTTTTTACCTTTTCTATGGGCTCCCAATTTTTTCTCTTTGAAGGTCCATATGGTTCAATGGACACTGACTTCACCATTGCCTTTAAAAATAAAGGCAACCTTTGTTAGCCATTAAGCCACTTCCATATCTTTGGCCAGTAAATAGGCATGTGATACGAGCTGGCCCATCTGGAATGGATTCAGTACTTTGCTGGGAATGTTGGGACAAAGCAGCTCACACTTCCCCACTAGACTTGAATAAAGAAGCATGCCACTCTGGACCTCCTGGCAGTTGTTTCCATTTAAATGTCCAGAAAAGTGGCTCCCTACCTGTGCCTCCGAATAACCTATTGAGGTGTTTTAAAAATACAGAAGCTTGGACTCTACTTCGGAGGTCCTGAATCAGAGTCTTAGCAAGTGAAACTTGGAACTCTAGATTCTTTAAACTTTTATGAATAACTCTGGTGTACAACCAGGGATGAGAATCATTGGTATATGACATTTTTAAAGTGCCCTTATAAGCTACTGACAAATAATTTTGGACAGGACAGTAATGTGGTCCTCAACTTAAACAGAGCTTAGAGTAACATTTTCAACTTTAACTCTTAAGCTTGGATAGAAATGAATCATTAAAAAGTCAGGAAACAACAGGTGCTGGAGAGGATGTGGAGAAATAGGAACACTTTTACACTGTTGGTGGGGCTGTAAACTAGTTCAACCATTGTGGAAGACAGTGTGGCGATTCCTCAAGGATCTAGAACTAGAAATACCATTTGACCCAGCCATCCCATTACTGGGGATATACCCAAAGGATTATAAGTCATGCTGCTATAAAGATACATGCACACATATGTTTATTGCAGCACTATTCACAATAGCAAAGACTTGGAACCAACCCAAATGTCCATCAATGACAGACTGGATTAAGAAAATGTGGCACATATACACCATGGAATACTATGCAGCTGTAAAAAGGATGAGTTCGTGTCCTTTGTAGGGACATGGATGCAGCTGGAAACCATCATTCTCAGCAAACTATCACAAGAACAGAAAACCAAACACTGCATGTTCTCACTCTTAGGTGGGAACTGAACAATGAGAACACTTGGACACAGTAAGGGGAACATTACACACCGGGACCTGTTGTGGGGTGGGGGTGGTGGGGAGGGATAGCATTAGGAGATATACCTAATGTAAATGACGAGTTAATGGGTACAGCACACCAACATGGCACATGTATACATATGTAACAAACCTGCACATTGTGCACATGTACCCTAGAACATAAAGTATAATTAAAAATAATAATAATAATAAAAGAAATGAATTATTTAAGGAAATGTCCAATTTGTTAAAATGACCATCTTAGAAACAGTTATGTGGTCCCATACAATTATTTTTCTAATCTATCAAAATGTTTCTATTTTTTAGAAGAGTGCTCCCAACTAATACTCCAATCTCCAACTCATGATTAGGCCAAACAAACAACAATTTACATAAATAGATTCCCCTTTATGTTACTTTTATCTCTTCTACTGTAATTCTGGTGTTCATTGTGAACCTGGGATAATAATGTCAGTGAAATGACAATGGAGAATTTGAATTCAACTGAAATGGGTGTCAAATTTATCCTATTATCTAAGGTGTGTTGGAGCATCACTGTGAATACAGGGCAGACTAAAGTGGCTCCTGTCTAAATTAAAAGCACTGCATTTTAACTCCAAGCTTCTATTCTTACCTTATTATGTATAGATTGTATAACTATTTCTCCAAGTCTTGTTCTCACCTGCACAGAATATGTTCTTTTCATTCAAATTAAAAGTTACATAAATTCCAACCAATTGCAAAGAATATTTTTATTTTGTGTAGTTTTTTTTTTTAATGATAGTTCCAAGATTTTTTAAAAATAAAATGTTTTTACAAGAAAAGGTACAAGCACTTCAACTTGAATGCACTTTTATAACCTTGGCTCAGAATTGAATTTTGTTTTCCTTGGCAATTTTTACATTGATAGAAATCAGATTACAGGCTACTGATGGACTCTTCTTTTTCCTCTAACTATAGATAGGAGGGTTGTATACTTAATGTGTTCTAATTATCTAGTTCACAGATGCATTTCATACTCTCAGTCACTACAGCATTGATTAGTCCCTAAAAAATCTTTTGGGCAATTAAGTAATAATCTGTTGTGGAGGATGTGGGCATCATATCAGAACTCAGTCAGTCAAACATACAGGCCTGCATAGAGACAATAAAAATGATGCAATTTTTATGAAATTCTAATAACTTCAAATATTATTTCCACCAAGGTGCCTTATTTGATTCTTCCTTCAAGATTAGGCAAAAAATGGAACGCAAATAATGGAAAAAATAAAGCAAAAAGTTAGAGATTTTCTTCGAAGAAAAGCCCTAGGCATTTTACAGAAAATGAAAATCAACTGAAAAAAAATTGGAAAGCATTTAAAAAGTATATTTAGTACTTTTAAAATATTATAAAGTATTGCATATAATAAAGTAACATCATTTTATACGTGTACTAGTGTCTCAGAGACTTGTATGATTCCTATTTAACTTGTCTTTCTTACATAGAAATGTAAAAAGTAACAATGTAAAAATGTAAGTAAAAGTATTAAAATATTTAAAAATGACTGTGTATCCTCTTCTGTACGGTAGAAGTTAAATTGTGGCTACGTAATCTTATATATTGAAAGCTCAAAGTGATTTGAAAAAAAGTTCAACAACCTTTGGGCTTTCTTTCTTAGCTTCTTTACTCATAGTGCGTCATTAGCCAAGCCTTCTGACCTGCATACAGTGTTGCTGTCTTCATTTACAGCATATATACATTTATAGTATATGTATGTGTACTGTATATATGTAGACTATATATACAGTATATGTATAGATACATGCATATATACACCTATACTGTATATTTATACATATAAATACATATGTGTATATTCTTGTTCTCAAGTCAAGACCATTACTGCCACAATTTACACAATTTGGCCAGGCGCGGTGGCTCGCGCCTGTAATCCCAGCACTTTGGGAGGCCAAGGTGGGCGGATCTCGAGGTGAGGAGATCGAGATCATCCTGGCTAACACGGTGAAACCCCTTCTCTACTAAAAAATACAAAAAAATAGCCAGGCGTGGTGGCAGGTGCCTGTAGTCCCAGCTACTCAGGAGACTGAGGCAGGAGAATGGTGTGAACCCTGGAGATGGAGCTTGCAGTGAGCCAAGACTGTGCCACTGCACTCCAGCCTGGGCGACAGAGCGAGACTCCGTCTCAAAAAAAAAAAAAAAAAGTATAAATTTATGGGGTGCAAGTACAGTTGTGTTCCATGTGTAGATTACGCATAGCAGTCAAGTCAGGATTTTTAGGGTATCCATCATCTGAGTAACATACACTGTACCCATTAAGGAATTTTTCATCATCTAGCCCCTTGCTACCCCCTCATCCTTCCCAGTCCAGTGTTTATCATTCCACTGTCTATGTCCATGTGTGCACATTATGTAGCTTCCACTTATAAGTCAGAACACCACCATTCTTTTTTGTGTACTTCAGTTTTTTGTTTATTACTTTTTGAGCCTAGTAAGACATTCCTTTTGAAAAATGCATTTTGACATTTGGATTTCTACATAGATGAATACTTATTCTTGAGCACAAGAGAATAACAAAATCACCTGACCAATATCTACCATAATTTGGGGAAGTTCATACGTAACCCTTTCAAAGACAGGACAGCCACATGGTTCTTTCAGGGAGTAATATCCCACTAATGAAAGATAGATCCAAAGTAGAAGTAATTAAAAATAAACTTCTTTCTTCTCATGATTTTGCACTTCGGCAACATTAATGAGATCCAAACAGCCTGTTGCTGTCCTTACTAACACCTGCTTTCTTTCCTGACCATTTTCTTCATAACTACCATTGCTCTAACTCATGTCTTCTGATCCCCCACATCCCCACCCAAGAAATAATACTTCCTTCACAGGCCACTTGTCTTTTCCTTATTCTTTTTCATTGCCTATCTCAGCTCTTTATTACAAAGATAACTCCTTTTTTTCTCATGTGGATATTTCTTCCTCTCTAGAAGTGAGGACCAGGGAAGAAACATCTCTGACCATAAAGGTCTTCCCTTTTGTGGGAGAAGGGTTGGCTATGGACACTGTCATATTAACATTATGGTGCCATCCCATATTATGTAGTTAAAGACAGTTCAATAATACTATTTATGGCTGGGCACAGTGGCTCATGCCTGTAATCCCAGCACTTTGGGAGGCCAAGGTGTGCAGATCACCTGAGGTCAGGAGTTCAAGACCAGCCTGGCCAGCATGGTAAAATGCTGTCTCTACTAAAATTACAATAACTAGGCATGGTGGTGAGTACCTGTAATCCCAGCTACTGAGGAGGCTGAGGCAAGGGAATGGCTTGAACCCAGGAGATGGAGGTTGCAGTGAGCCAAGATCATGCCACTGTACTCCAGCCTGGGCGACAGTGAGACTCTGTCTCAAAAAAAAAAAAAAAAAAAAAGCTATTTAATTGATTTTCTTTAGCCAATTTTAGCCAATGTCCAATGGAGACAATTTATTATGCAAGTGTGTGTCTATTTTCCCTCTAATGACTTATAGAAAATTATTAACTGTATACTTAGGAGATTCTCTTTCCAACCTTCTTATAAACTATCCTCTCATAATTTCAGTAACAACTTGATTATTTCTTGTTCCTTTCTGTGGAGGAAAGAAACAACTAGAGGTAATACAATGATGATATGAGGGGAAGAAGTGTGCCTAGTGATTGCTGAAAGATGAGATTTCTGGCTCATGTGCCAGTAGTGACAACTTGGGGAAAAGGGTGGGATATGTGCTGTTGTGGTAAAAGTAGAAAAACGTCTGGTCACTGAATGAACAGTCAGAGCCTAGGAGCAAAAAAGAATGTAAGTACCTAGAGATACGAATTAAAGAAAAGCTGGGCATGAAAATAAAATAAGGAATAGGGCTTGGAATAGGGCTCAGAATAGGAACTAGGTTGCAATTCCTCAAGTTCTTCTCTTTCTTTTAATCACATCAAATAAGAGGAAAGTCTCCCTACCCCCAGCCCCCATTTTTGGTAATCTAATAGAGATAGAAATTTTTCTCCCCCATCACCTTCACCCTTCTCATGTTCCAAGTAAAGCATTTTGCTTGCAACCAGAAATGGCAGATCTTAAATAATACAATTTGTAAACAGAAAGACTGGGTTCTGTGTAAGCTCTCCTTTCTGTTAGCTTATATGGAAACTTATTTTCATATGCTCCCAAAGTGCACTAAATCAGCTGGCAATACCAAGCACAAGGGATACACTTCATAATCTTTCTAAATGACTGGCAAGAGAACTGTCCTGGAGAAAAATGCCCCTGCTAGCTCCTCCTTCCCTCTATCTCACTTCTATCATATTATCAATAGATTAGAGTGGTGAATAGCAGAACACATCTCTGGTGAAAACTCTCATCAGACAAAGAAATATGATAAAACCCAGTAAATAGGGATTTCCACATCAGTTTCTATCAGGAAAAAACAAATAAATGTCTCACCTTTATATACAGTGGCTCCCTAAGATGATCAACCAGAATGCAAGCTTTTTCTTCCCACACAGGGTTGAGGTTCTTATGTATTATCTTACTTCTAAAAACTTCTTTTCCTCCGATTTTAAACTTCACATATGGATCACTTGTCCCTGTTAAATAGATACAGATTGATCCATGTTAATCATGCCTTGGTTTGGAAGCAAGAGAACCACTCATTGAAACAACAAAAAAGCATTTAAAGGAAGAAAAGTTAAATGAAAATTATCTATGGAAAAATAAGAGTTAAGTGTTTTCTTATGAATTTTTTATTATATATTGAAGTGATAAATAGATAAATAATAATAATTATTATTATTGTTATTTTATCTTCTGATCTTAATCCTATAACCTTGTCCTGGTAGTTAAAAACAGTCTATTCCAGCAATCCCACTAGTGGGCATGTACCCAAAGGAAAAGAAATCATTTTATCAAAAAGACACCTGACTCAGATGTTTATCACAGCACTTTTCACAACAGCAAAGTCATGGAATCAACAGACCATTGGGTTAAAATGTGAGATATATATATATATATATATATATATATATATATATATATGCCATGGAATACTACTCATCCATGAGAAAGAAATCATGTATTTAGCAGCAACATGGATGGAACTGGAGGCCATTACTTTAAGTGAAATGACTCAGAGAAAGAAAGTCAAAAACCGCATGTTCTCTTTTATAAGTGGGAGCTAAACAATTGGTACACATGAAGACAAAGGATGGAAAAATAGACATTGGAGATTCCAAAAGGTAAGAGGATGGGAGAGGGATGAAGGATGAAATACTACCTATTTGGTACAATGTATATGACTTGAGTGATGGGTATTCTAAAAGCCCAGACTTTACCACTATGTAGTACATCCATGTAACACAACTGCACTTGTCTCCCAAAATCTGCTTTTTAAAATCACACTCTATTGCATATTGAATGTGTAAATTTAATTAAAGTTACAAATCATAGAGATTGATATTTCTCTTGATATCATCTGGTCAACTATAAAAAGACGTTTAATAATCTTCGCTGATTTAAATAGTTTTAAAAGTATGTATATGCTGCTAAAAGTTTATACTAGTCCAATGGGCTTAGGAAAAGATGCGTATTAAAGTGGGCTTCACTTCATCCTTGGTCCCACATTTTTTCTTGCTCAGAAGTTTCAATTTTAGAATGTTAGGAAGGGGCGGAGGTCTCAGAGAAAGACATCAGGAGAAAGGGGAACACATGTTTAATCAGTGAACTGGATTCTTTGTATTATCCCTTGACACCTTCTAAACTCCCTATGATGATAAAGAAAATCAGTGTTGATTCCCAGGCAAGATGGCCAAATAGGAACAGCTCCAGTCTGCAGCTCCCAGTGAGACCAATGCAGAAGGTGGGTGATTTCCGCATTTCCAAGTGAGGTACCTGGTACATCTCAGTGGGACTGATTAGACAGTGGGTGCAGCCCATGGAGGGTGAGCAGAAGCAGGGTGGGGCATCATCGACTCACCCAGGAAGTGCAAGGGTTCAGGGAACTCCTTCCCATAGCCATGGAAAGCCATGAGGGACCATGCCATGAGGAACTGTGCTGTCTGGCCCAGGTACTATGCTTTTCTCATGGTCTTCACAACCCACAGAGCAGGAAATTCCCTCAGGTGCCTATGCCACAAGGCCTCTGGTTTCAAGCACAAAACCAGGCAGCTGTTTGGGAAGACACCGAACTAGCTGCAGGAGTTTTTTTAACCATACCCCAGTGGCGCCTGGAATGCCAGCAAGACTGTTCACTCCCCTGGTAAGGGGGCTAAAGCCAGGTTGCCCAGTGGTCTTGCTCAGTGGATCCCACCCCTCCGGAGCCCAGAAAGCTAAGATCTACTGGCTTGAAATTCTCATTTCTAGCACAGCAGTCTGAAGTCAACCTGGGAGGCACAGCTTGGTGGGGGGAGGGGAGTCCGCCATTACTGAGGCTTGGGTAAGCCGTTGTCTCCTCACAGTGTAAACAAAGATGCAGAAAGTTCAGACTGGGCAGAGCCCACTGCAGCTCAGCAAAGCCACTGTGCCAGACTGCCTCTCTACTTTCCTCCTCTCTGTGCGGGGCATCTCTAAAAGAAAGGCATCAGCCTCAATCAGGGGTTTATAGATAAAACTCCCATCTCCCTGGGACAGAGCACCTGTGGGAAGGGGCGGCCGTGGGTGCAGCTTCAGCAGACGTAAACGTTCCTACCTGCTGGCTCTCAGATGAAACACACCTGTGGACAGTGAATTAGCTTTGAGCGTAAACGTTCCTACCTGCCCGGCTCAGAGGGGCAGCCACGTGGGTGCAGCTTCAGCAGACGTAAACGTTCCTACCTGCTGGCTCTGAAGAGAGCAGCAAATCTCCCAGCACAGAGCTCAAGCTATCCTAAGGGACAGTCTGCCTTGTCAGGTGGGTCCCTGACCCCCATGCTTCCTGACAGGGAGACACCTCCCAGCAGGGGTCGAGAGACACCTCATACAGGAGAGCTCTGGCTGGTATCTGGCAGGTGCTCCTCTGGGATGAAGCTTCCAAAGGAAGGAGCAGGCAGCAATCTTTGCTGTTCTGCAGCCTCTGCTGATGATACCCAGGCAAACAGAGTCTGGAGTGGATCCCCAGGAAACTCCAGTTGAACTGCAGAAGAGGGGCCTGACTGTTTTAGAAGAAAACTAACAAACAGAAATGAATAGCATCAACATGAACAAAAAGGACGACCATGGAAAATTTCATCCAAAGGTCACCAACAGCAAAGACCAAAGGAAGATAAATCTGCAAAGATGAGGGGAAAAAAAAAAAAAAAACAGTACAAAAAGACTGAAAATTTCAAAAAACCAGAATGCCTCTTCTCCTCCAAAGGATCACAACTTCTTGCCAGCAAGGGAACAAAACTAGATGGAGAATGAGTTTGACAAATTGAGAGAAGTAGGCTTCAGAAGGTGGGTAATAACAAATTCCTCCGAGCTAAAGTAGCATGTGGTAACCCAATGCAAGGAAGCCAAGAACCTTGAAAAAAGGTTAGAGGAACTACTAAACAGAATAACCAGTTCAGAGAAGAACATAAATGACCTGATGGAGCTAAAAAACACAGCATGAGAACTTCATGAAACATACATAAATATCAATAGCCAAACCGATCAAGCAGAAGAAAGGATATCAGAGATTGAAGATCAACTTAATGAAATAAAGCACGAAGACAAGATTACAGAAAAAAGAATGAAAAGGAATGAACAAAGCCTCCAAGAAATATGGGACTCTGTGAAGAGACCAAACCTATGTTTGATTGGTGTACCTGAAAGTGACAGGGAGAATGGAACCAAGTTGGAAAACACACTTCAGGATATTATCCAGGAGAACTTTCCCAACCTAGCAAGACAGGCTAACATTCAAATTCAGGAAATACAGAGAACACCACAAAGATACTCCTCGAGAAGAGCAACCCCAAGACACATAATCATCAGATTCACCAAGGTTGAAATGAAAGAAAAAATGTTAAGGGCAACCAGAGAGAAAGGTCAGGCTACCTACAAAGGGAAGCCCATCAGACTAACAGTGGATCTCCCTGCAGAAATCCTACAAGCCAGAAGAGACTGGGGGCCAATATTCAACATTCTTAAAGAAAATAATTTTCAACCCAGAATAAGAAGCACTAAATATGGAAAGGAAAAACTGGTACCAGCCTCTGCAAAAACAAACCGAGATGTAAAGACCATTGACACTATGAAGAAACTGCATCAACTAATGGATGAAATAACCAGCTAGCATCATGATGACAGGATCAAATTCAAACATAATAATATTAACCTTAAATGTAAATGGGCTAAATGCCCCAATTAAAAGGCACAGACTAACAAATTGGATAAAGAGTCAAGACCCATTGGTGTATTCAGGAGACCCATCTCATGTGCAAAGACACACACAGGCTCAAAATAAAGAGATGGAAGAAGATTTACCAAGCAAATGGGGGGAAAAAAAGCAAGGGTTGCAATTCTAATCTCTGAAAAAACAGATTTTAAACCAATGAAGATTAAAAAAAAGAGAAAGAAGGGCATTACATAATGGTAAAAAGATCAATGCAACAAGAAAAGCTAACTATCCTCAATATATATGCACCCAATACAGGAGCATCCAGATTCATAAAGCAAGTTCTTAGAGACATACAAAGAGACTTAGACTCCCACACAATAATAGTGGCAGAATTTTACACCCCACTGTCAATATTAGACAGATCAACAAGACAGAAAATTAACAAGGATATTCAGGACTTGAACTCAGCTCTAGACCAAGCAGACCTAATAGACATCTACAGAACTCTCCACCTCAATCATCAGAGTATACATTATTCTCAGCACCACATAGCACTTCTTCTAAAATCGACCACATAATTGGAAGTAAAACACTCCTCAGCAAATGCAAAAGAACAGAAATCATAACAGTCTCTTAGACCACAGTGCAATCAAATTAGAACTCAGGATTCAGAAACTCACTCAAAACTGCACAACTACATGGAAACTGAACAACCTGCTCCTGAATGACTACTGAGTAAATAACAAAATTAGGGCAGAAATAAATAAGTTCTTTGAAACAATGAGAACAAAGACATAATGTAACAGAATATCTGGGGCGCAGCTAAAGCAGTATTTAGAGGGAAATTTATAGTACTAAATGCCCACAGGAGAAAGCTGGAAAGATCTAAAATTGACACCTTAACATCACAATTAAAAGAGCTAGAGAGGCAAGAGCAAACAAATTCAAAAGCTAGCAGAAGACAGGAAATAACTAAGACCAGAGCAGAATTGAAGGAGATAGAGACACAAAAAAAATCAATGAATCCAGGATCTGGTCTTTGAACAGATTAACAAAACAGATAGACCGCTAGCCAGGCTATTAAAGAAGAAAAGAGAGAAGAATCAAATAAACGCAATAAAAAATGATAAAGGCAATATCACCACTGATATCCCATAGAAATACAAACTACCATCAGAGAATACTATAAACACCTCTACGCAAATAAATTAGAAAATCTAGAAGAAATGGATAAATTCCTGGACACATACACCCTCCCAAGACTAAACCAGGAAGAAATTGAATCCCTGAATAGACCAATAACAAGTTCTG